CCCTCCCCCCTTCCCCTCAACACACACTCTTTTCCCTTCTTTATCCTTGTCTGATGCCTGCTATCCGTCTCTCACCCATTCGCTGGTTTCTGTCTCATGTCTTGCTGTCATGAGCAAGGCAACATGCAGAAGAAGGACTGCCTATTGGATATGGGTATCAGGGTGAACGCGTCAGAACACACAGATCCAAGGGAGAAATGAGACAAGTCAAGACTCTGTGTCTTTTTCTTTGTTTGGGTCTGATGTGCATTGTGATTACAGAGGTGAGAAGCACCTGCGTTGTTGTATCCTTGATATGACGAGCTTTGATGTGATTGTAGGGAATAGCTGCTACTGTTGGCTGTCAAGGTTTTATTGATGGCAAGAAGAATGTCGTGCGCCAGAGCTCTTGCTTGACATTACGAGGAGGAAGTGGTGCACCATGGAACGTGAGCGATGGTGGTTCCCCTGGGGCGAAAGAGCTCAGAGAGAAAAGTATGGGGAATGTGAATGGAATGCGCATGGAGCTAACTGGCCATGGTTCTCTCGAGGAACAAGACGAGATGTATGCAGACGAGCAGTTGGCTGTTTACAGCTCTCGTGACGCAAGAGACAAGACAGAGAGATCGAAAAGACCACGAACTGCGGAAAGAGAGGGGCTAGGGGGCTATTCATTGGGAGCAGAGCTCCATGCAACGATGACCAGAGTAAATGAGACGGTAATTGAGATTGCAGGGGTAAATGCGGAGATTGCAAGGGTAAAGGAGGATATTGATGTGGTTAATAGCAAGATAGAAGTGGCAGATAGGAACATCATAGAGAGGAACATCTCAAATATGAATGAGCAATACTGGTATCAGGAGAAGCAGCTTCGAGAGATGGAGAAGCAGCAGCTTCGAGAGAAGGAGATACAGCTTCTCAAAATATTGGAGATCAAACAACAAAGGGATATACGTCATGAAAAACTTGCAGACCATTTATCCAAACCTGAAGGTGAAGCAGAATTGTGATGAATTACATGTACTGATAGGACTGATAGGTAGCGAAATCCTACTTTTCTTGAACGATCTCTGGAACATTGCACGCTCAGGCAAGACCTTCTCAGCTCTTGAGATTATCCCTCTTTCGACATTCTTGGGAGGCGATGAGGATTTTGGAAACCATCTCTTCATACGAGAGTGTTATCTTGAGATGAAGCGGGTAATTGCAGAACATTTCAAGGTGGATCCAGAGATGTTGAAGACACTGGGACCACGAAAGAGTTGTAAGCCATTTATTCTCACAGGTACTCCAGGGATAGGAAAGTCGTGCTTTGCGTACTACTTACTCATGGAGCTTCTCCGGTCTAAGGAGAAAATCGTCTACCAGGTAGGGCCTCAGTATTGGTACTCTGATGGAGGAGAATGGAATGAGATCCTCCATGACAAACCTTTTGTTGTCCTTCTTGCACATTTCTCTGGGTGGTATATCTGTGACTTGTACCATGGGAAAGGAGACTATGCCATCACTAATTTCGCAAAAACAATTATAATTTCATCACCGAGGGTTCAGCCGATTAAGGATCTTTTGAACAAACGTGTGTCGCAGAGATATTTTCTACCAGTATGGTCGGACGAGGAGATGTCAATCTTCATCAAGATGCATAGGGGGCGCATTGATGAGCAAGAAGCTGCACGGACCATTGAGGATTGGGGAAACGTACCAAGATATCTCGTGATGAAACCCTCAGATACACTTGATCAGATAATCAGGACAACAGGTTCTTTGTCATCACTACAGGAGAGGATGCATGTGGCAATAAATCAAGACTTGGGAATGCCATCGAAACTAATTCACCTGATCCCTAATTCTGACTTCAAGACCATAACCCCTCGCATATGTTCAACGAAGGCTGAAACGAAGATATTTGACAGGATTGTCATAAACGATTGGCATTCGCTTGTTGAGCAGGCTTTTTCGGCCGCTGAAAGTCCATTTGAGGTTGCAGCAGGTCAAATTTTTGAATACGTTGCACATCAGCTGCTGAAGAAAGGAGGAAACTTCACGTTGCATAGTCTACAGTCGACTAATGGTAATGGATACATGTGCGAAGAGCTCAAGTTGGAAACATCGCAATCGTATATTGAATTTGCGACAAAGCAAGACGAGATGGAAACGTGGGCGATCAATTTGAATGCATATTGCAAGCCCAAGTCAAAGAATTTTCCTTTCTTGGATGCGTTGTCATTAAAACAAAGCGAAGTTCTCTACATTTTTCAGATTACACGGGCAGATAGTCATCCGATCAAGTATTGGCCATTATGTAAGATCCTGCAAGCTCTGCGAGCCAAGAACCGGTTTTCTAGGATATGTTTTGTGTTTGTCCTACCTTCAGCGTATAAGGGACTGCCGAACTGGACACGAGGACAGGTTTTCACATATGATGGAAAAGAGCCAAGCGAGGAGAATTTTCAGCAGCTGTGCAACTTCACTCAGTACACCATGTTCCTATCAAAAGAAGATGCATTATGGTTGAGAGAAAGGAAGATTTCTGAAATGAGCTCTGCTAGTATGCCCGAAGTTACAGGTCTTGTCTCCGACACTGTGAGGAAATCCACCTGAACCGTGTCGCAAACAAGTCGGATGTGAAGAGAAGCATTCTCTCCAAGAAAACTAACCTACCTCAGGGATCTAAATTGTAAGAGGATAAGGTAGTACAGATTATTCTCTCATTCGCTCCCACTAGCACACAAAAATGACAACACACTCATGTTGTCCATCCTTTGTATTCCACAAGATGCCGTACACGATTACCTCTTTCACAACGAGCAACTTAGTTCCACTTCAAAAAAAATCGAACTTCTGTAGAATCAAAGATAACCGAATTTTCCAAATCAACAAGATGTATGTAATAAGATAAATCGCCCTCTAGCTAGCCCCTCTCTTTCTGCAGTTCGTGGTCTTTTCGATCTCTCTGTCTTGTCTCTTGCGTCACGAGAGCTGTAAACAGCCAACTGCTCGTCTGCATACATCTCGTCTTGTTCCTCGAGAGAACCATGGCCAGTTAGCTCCATGCGCATTCCATTCACATTCCCCATACTTTTCTCTCTGAGCTCTTTCGCCCCAGGGGAACCACCATCGCTCACGTTCCATGGTGCACCACTTCCTCCTCGTAATGTCAAGCAAGAGCTCTGGCGCACGACATTCTTCTTGCCATCAATAAAACCTTGACAGCCAACAGTAGCAGCTATTCCCTACAATCACATCAAAGCTCGTCATATCAAGGATACAACAACGCAGATGCTTCTCACCTCTGTAATCACAATGCACATCAGACCCAAACAAAGAAAAAGACACAGAGTCTTGACTTGTCTCATTTCTCCCTTGGATCTGTGTGTTCTGACGCGTTCACCCTGATACCCATATCCAATAGGCAGTCCTTCTTCTGCATGTTGCCTTGCTCATGACAGCAAGACATGAGACAGAAACCAGCGAATGGGTGAGAGACGGATAGCAGGCATCAGACAAGGATAAAGAAGGGAAAAGAGTGTGTGTTTGAGGGGAAGGGGGGGAGGGGGGGGGGGGGGAGGGAGAGAAAGGGAGAGCAAGGGAGAGAAAGGGACGAAGGACCGACAGAATCACTGACAGGCAGGCTGGCAGCAGGCAAAGAGCGAGAGAGGAGGAAGAGGGAGGGAGAGGGTGGGTGCAAGCAAGGAAATGGGGTGAGGGGAGGAAGAGAGACAGACAGACAGAAGGAGGGAGAGTGACCGAGTAAGAGACAGCCAGTGAGTGAAAGAGAGAGATGCTCCCTCACTTTCTCCCTCCCTCCGCTCTCCCCTTTCTCCCTCCCTCCCTCGCTAATCCTCGCCTCCTTCCTCGACACACACACACTCCCTCCCTCCCTATCACCCTATCTCCTTTCCTTTCTTCATATATCTCTGCCCCCCTCCCTCCTCCCTTCCTGCCTCTTTCGGTCCCTCCCCCTGTCCCTCCCCTCCCTCCCTCGCTATAGCACGAATACCAACAGCCTTCTAGCAAATCAGACAGACCTTGTTGGAGTGCACAGCATATAGCACTATTAGTTTTAAAGATATTGGTTAAATTTTCAATACAAATATTGGTACCAGGGACACACTTCAGGAAAGTACACTGAAAATAACCATGACTCGGAGTGTTTTCCAGACGTGGTACAAATGAGTACCAGGTGTGTCCTGTACGGTATTTTTCATGGTACAAATTTCACCGACAGTTCGTTGAATTTCACTACAACCGTTTTCAACGGTAAACGTACGGTACAGACAGTAGCCTACCGCCGACAGTTCAGATCAGGATGAAGAAAGTCCGAACTCGTTGCCTCAGGGCCTGCTGAGGCGGTGCCATATGTCTCAACCTTCTCGGAGTCCTTCCAACTCGTCTGCCAGGGACTCTGTGCGTCACTCCTTCCAGTCCGAAATTGCGCCGGGCTTCCGAGCGAGAGCCGAAGTTCTTGTCACGTAGACGGTACTGAAGCTGGCACTGGCCAGTGAGTCAGAGTTACTAGGTTACCGTACATAGCACTGCAGCCTTAGGCCGGCGGCCCGGCGGGCCGCGGATGCCGGGCGCGTCACGCAACGGCGTAAACTTGAACATCCGGTGGCATCGGATGATCCGAGTCACAGAGTCACTCGGATCCGATCAACTGGCGCCGGCCGCCCTGGCGGCTTCCGAAGTTCCCCTACACCGTGCTGGCGAGGAGCCATGCCGCAGTGCTGCCGAAAATAACGGCGCCTGGCGCCTGCCGAAAATAACGGCGCCTCCTAAACCCTAAACCCTCAGTCAAACTCTAAAGGCTCCCCCTCCCCCAGGCTCCGGGCCCACCGCGGCCGGCTTACCTGCCCTTCAAGCCTGAGGCTTACCTTCGTTGCTTGCCCCGTGCCCACCTGCTTTCAAGTTTATTTCTTCCTCCTTCCCCCGGGCCTTGGGGCCCACATTTCCGCCGCAGAGTCTGCCTCTTGTCCACCTTTAAGACTTGCCTCGAGCTTCAAGCGCGAGAGAGGCCTGTGCCAGCCTCCTCCTCCACGCCCTCGCCCTCCTCAGCCTCCATTTCGACTTCATCTCTCATCGTCAGCCGCAGTCGGTCTTGCTTGTCGACCTTGCCCGTGAGGCTTACAGATCGACTCTCGATGTCATCGCTCTCAGCCTCCAAGGCGCTGCCCCTCCTCGCTGCCTGCATGACCTTCTTGTTCCCTTGCACCCGTGTCCATTGCATCTCCCCGAGGTACGCTCTGAGCTTTTCTTTCAACGGCGTGGCTGCCCAAGCTCCGAGCGTCATGAACTCCACGTTGCCAGCTTGCCAACACTCTTGTCTAGCTCCAGGGAGATCCGAGCTTGCCAGCTAGCAGCTCCTCCTCTGATCAGTGTCTCCAAGAGCATCGACGAGAGGTCGACCAAGACCTGTTGATCGACTGGCCCTGACGGCGACGCTGCTTCCATGGTGATCCTGTCGATGTCGCTGAGCTCCAGCCATCCAGCGCCTTGCTGATGCCCTTGGGGGTCCTGAGCTTGCTCCTCGCTCTCCTCTTCCTCCTGAGAGCTGACAGTGGGGACCCCTTCCAAGTCGCCAGGAAGAGAGCTATCAGGCTCCCATCCCAGCTCAGCGTGTCACCGTGAATCTTCCTCGACCTCGACGCTGACCAGCTTGAGGTTTGTGTTACCTCCTCCGCACAGCCGCGGCTTCCATCTCCTTCCTCGAGAAGCGGCCTCAGTGCTCATGCTTGACCTCGACTTGATCTGTCACGTGACTCTAAAGCTGCTGCGCCCCGCATGATCTCTCACGTCTCTCTGAGCTTGGCGTCGTCGCTGATGAGAGTGAGATGCACCCCCTCCATCGCCTCGCTCTCTCTGAACGAGAGCTCCCGTGCTTGCCCCAATAGCCACATACGTCTTCGGGCTCGGCCCCTTGCGACCTCGGAGGCTGCCCAGGACCCTGCACGAGAATGCCAGCAAGCGGTTGTACCTCTGCAGCTGAAATCGATAGAGAGTCTGAGCGATCTCGGCCGTCGACATTCCTCCAAGAGCTAAGAGCTGCGATAGCTCGGCAAGGCTCCGGCGGCGGCGGCTCCCGGGCCTTGCAGTGCCCCAAGGTCCTCGCTTGGCTCGAAGCTTGAACGACCGTCTGCCGTCTATGCTGTATTCTCCGGGCCTGCCTTCGGCCCCATAGCGCCATGGCTTCTTCATTCCTAAGGAAGGAGACGGTGACTGAGATGTCGTCTGCTCGTGCTACTAGCCTCAGGTCTGTAAGGTGCTTTCCACATGATGGCCTTGTCGACTCCATCGACTGAGTCTACCATGAGACCCAGCTCCATAAGCTTCGATTTCAACTTTTCTTGGAGATGAAGGAGGTCCCCTCGGTGCAAGTCAGTTCAGTGCCGATGTATGCCTCGACATTCTGCTTCTTGGCCTCCTCCATCTGTTGTTAAACCATGCTCTCGACTCTGAGCTCCATTCGCTCAGAGAGTCTTCAAACAGGTCGCGTCTCGCCTGCCGACATCATCGGTCGAGCGGATGGCTTCAGCGATAGCGTCGGGAGTGCATCCATGATCCACCCTCAGCTCTGCAAGCATGAGCTGTCCTACTAGGCTACCAGGATACCGCTTCGCGAAGCTCTTCACCCTCTCGACGAGGTTGGCGGCCTCCTCGACGTGGCCTCCAGAGCGCTCGCCCTGCGTGTATTGGCATGATCTCCGATACAGCAGGTTGCGAACGCTCTCATCATTTCGCAGCTTCCTCCAGTCCCCTTGCGCTCTCCCTACGCGCCGCAGGGCAGCATGCTCTTACCGTAAGGGCCGCGGCTCCTAAACCCGGCGGGCCTAAACCCTAAACCGTCCCTAAACCCTAAACCGGGCCCTAAACCCGTGTACTAGGCGTGACTCCCGTCTTCAGTGAGCGGGGGCTAGTCACTGTGACGGTAGTCCCCCTGGCAGCCCCCCGCGGCGGCCACACTGACGGTCGGACGCCGCCGGTGAGAGTCACGCACGGCACTCAGCGCGGCACTGCAGAAACGTCAGGCTGCCGCGCGCGCCACGGATGTCACGGAGTCCGGCTGCGGCCGCATGAATCAACCGTGGCAAGCCGACTCGGACTCGGAAGGGCCCCCCGGCGGGCCCCTTCCTTACTCGCCTCACTGACTCGCGTCCGAGGCTCTCCCCCGGGCCCAGTCTCCCCGGGCCCAACTTGGCACTGCCAAGGCTTGCGGCAAGCCTGAGCCCGCCGGGCCGCCGGGCGGCGCCGCCCGCGGCGGCCTCCTCCGGGCCCCGCCTCCGACTCCCGTCCGATCCCGGGCCTTCCGGGCCGGCCCCCCTCCCGGGAGTCCCGGGCCACCGGCTTACTGATCGGATGATCCTTTACCGTCAAAGTTAAGTCGCCGTCAGGATGATAGTCCGACAACTGGCAAACGGCCCGGGGGGTGTAGTGACGATGTACCGTACCGTACAGATCATCTCTACCGTACAGAGTGTCACTCGGAAGCCTTGAAGGGATTCGGCAGCCGCAGGGTAGGCCACGATCAAATTGGGAGGCACGGTAGGGGTAGTTCTTTACGGGCCGGGGTGTGTGTCGAGGACCGTACCCTGTGAGAGTCCAAGAGGGGGCCGGGTAGCCTGAGGCAAACCCGGGAGGTGGGGAGGCCTAGCGACGGTAAAAATCAAACTCGGTAGAGGCTGACATATCCCGGCCTAAACTACCGGTGCTTGGCAAACATTTCTTTACAAGTGGATTATATGCCCTCTGTGGGGTAGTCGATGATGAAGGAGGAGGTAGGGTACTACAAGTACCGGCCCTCAAACATGGCCTGAAGGCTGAAGACGACGGATAGGGGTAGAGGCTCTTGGGGTAGGGGTTGTTCTGTGACGCCGACCTCCACAACATTCAAGGGTCCAATCAAACTGTGGCAAAGGGGTTAAAAATTTCAATATTTTAATTGAAAATTTGCGAATATACATCCAAATATCCAAATGTTTCAGACTATGGTACAAATCTGTAACAAAAACAAAAGCAATTTCAAGTAGTTGAATCGTACTCAAACACTAACCTCCCGTCCCCGGAAACTTCACAATTATTATGGTGAACAAGGGCAGATGAAGCAGGAAAGTTCGGGAGAGGAATTGGCAGGAGCAAGTGCCCGGGATGGAGATAAAGAAAGCACAAGGATGGATGGAGTAGGAGATCAGCAAGAGTTGTGCGAGAGGACTATGCTCCCTATCAAGGAAGAGCATAGTCAGGGTTCCGCAGGACTGTTAGGAGATTCGGTCTTGATTGAAACCGAATAGATGATAACCGATACAAACAGGAATGATCGAACCAATGCTGTCCAGGGTTGTGAACTCATTTTCACGTAGATCATGTGGAAAGGAGGATACCTTTGTTCATCTCAACCTAAACCTTTGTTCAGCTAGTGAAACTAAACAAAAAACGTACGCTTTGCTTTCATGGCAAAGCACAATCAAGAAAAATATATCGAAACAGTCCAGGACATGAAAATAGTCAGCTCATACTGCGAGAAAGACTGTGTGAATTCACTTTAGAACAAAGGTGTGACAAAACAAAGGACAAAAACAAAGGACAAGGGCTCCTTTTATCTTGCAGATTTCACTTTTCTCAGCAGTTTTTTGACATGTTGTGCCAGGAACAAGTGAGATTATCTCTCAGAATGGATCGCCCAATGCATGGTCGCTCAGAAAATGATTGAAATTACATAGAACTTCGATCTTGACGAAGCCGAAGCATCAAAACATCAAGGAAACAACAGATACAAATCGATTAACGTTTGTTTAAGTTGCCGAAACTAATCATCAGCTGACAACCAATTCGATTGTTTGCTTGAAATCGGAACCGCGACAAGAACCGGACAGAATTCAAGATTGCAAAGATGAAACGGTCATTCTCCCTCTCCGAGCTTCACGAGTCGCTTGAAGAGTCTGGAACGATGCGACGAGTCAAGTTCATCTCATTCGTACCGCATCCATTCAGTGACTTTGGGATCAGGTCGCAAGAGAACATGCTGAAGACGATGTCACCATTATCACCTGCTGTTGGTCCGCACGTTGCAAGGTGACATGCGTGTTCGATTGTTGATAGTAATCGAAAGCGCAGAGCACCGGTGCTGACCGAGAAAGAATTGAGAGAGCATTTCAATATGCCTTTGAATGAGGTCTCCACTGCTTTTCCTCTCCAGTCTCATTACCTTAGTGTCTTGACGTCCGCTCCTGACTGTAACTCTCCTGTACTCGTTCTTTTATCTCGTTGACTCGCTGAATTGTTCGTGTTTTCTTTGTTGCTCGTTGGTTTCGAGCAAGCTGAGTCATCGTTCAAAAGGTTGCCAAGAAGTATGGCATGTGCACGACAGCGCTAAAGAAATTGTGTCGCAAGTATGGGGTGATGCAGTGGCCGCACAGGTGAAATGTCAACGAGGGATTGGCGGGGCTGACTGGATGTCTCAAGGAAACTGAGAAGTTTAGAGAAGAAGATCGCATCGCTGAAAGCGGAACAAAGATACACAACAGATGGGCATGTACGATGACCTTGGCGGCTCCTCGCCATCTTACTTTGTCGTGCAGGGGCAACTTGACGACGAGATTCGAAAGCTTGAATCTCAGAGAGAAGTGAGTGGAGTATTCGTCAAACTTGCATGGTTGATGGTTTGATTGCAGTCACTGATTAGCGGGAATGGAACTGTGGGGCTAGATGACGATGCAGTAAGATGCAACTTCTCAGGTGTCGGTTGACCTCATGATAGGGAGGTTGGAGCCCTACTGCATCGTCACCAGCAGAAGCGATCGACATTGCAGACTTGTGTAAGTGATCCGAGGACAAGCGAAGAAGACGATTTCAAGAGCATGACATCATGGTGTAGATGACTCCATCGGGGTTGATGAGATGCATCATAGTCACGGCGATCTCAGTCACCAGCCGAGGTTGTCTTGTCAGCGCAGTGATGCCTTCGTGTGATGATGTTTCGCAGACGACCGTCTGTCGGAGCGGCAAATGCTCGTACATTTGCTCTTTCACAGCTGGAGTCTTGCTGAGCTTCCTATAGGTTCGTTCAACAGCTCTGATAGGGCGGGAGAGAGGAACGACGGGTAAGACGAGTCGTGTTGGACTATGTGAAATATTCATTGGGTATGACAAGGTCCAATGAAGAACGTCTTCAACATCAGATTCAAACCCTTGAGGAAGAAAACTCTTCCTTGAAGGCCCTGAGCAGGTCTCATGCTTTTTTCTTGTCATCCTTATCCTGATTGCTCCTTCAAGGTCGTTGATGAAGGAAAGGCAAGAGTTGTTGAACAAAACTTCAGCCACCAATGTCGAGATGGCTTCTTTAAGACAACTTTGCGAAAATTTGCAGCTGCAACTTCGATCGCTTACAGAGGGAAAGGGAGACGCAGGGAGAAATCCTGGCCTAATCCAAGAGGATCTGCTCACTGACAGCAAACGGAAGCCCTTGCAGGTGCTCATACCTCTGTTACTGCAAAACATTTCGCTCCCTCTCTTACTCCCTTTCGCTCACTTTCTGTCTCGCCTGCACTGAGAATGCAACAATGGCTTACTTCCCCACTGTTTCCAACCCTCTTGCGAAACTAGTTGGTGTCTGTCTTGACGGTCTCCTGCTGCTTCTCTAAATTATGTTCTTCCTGCCCCTCTCGACCTCGCTCTCTGCTTGCCTTAATGATGCTCAAAGGATGACGCGGTGATGCTTGGATGGAATCAGCAAGCGACGGGTATGACGAGAGATCATATGAGTTCAGGGAGAGGCGAGGTTGCGGAGAAGGGGAGGAGAGGTTATGAGGGGGTGGTGGTTGTTTCGAAGGGGAAAGAGAAAGATGAAGAGGATGTTGAACGTTGAGGGGGAAGAGAAAGGACGTTGAATTTACCGTTTGCAGCAGATGGGGGAGACTTGCACGCGCTGTCATGGATGGCGCCAGACTTTGACCTCGACGAGCTGCTGTGAGAGAGGGGATTAGACTAGATAAACGTGTTCGATAACCAAATGATTTCGTATGTAAGAATGACAGCAAGACAAACTTGAACAGACTCTAGCAAGCATGTGTTAGAACAAGACTACACAGTCTGTGTTTCTGTAGATATGCTACATAGGCCTGCCTTTGTCACAAACAGAGTAGGATACAGGATATCCAAAACAACAACCTTGCAAGGCAAGATACCATCTAAAGGTATGATGATTGTGAGGTTCACGCTGAAAATCGTCATTCAGTCTTTATTTTCAGGACTTCTAGTCTTATCTTTTCTTCATAAAATCGCAAATGTCATCCTTCTTTTCATCTGTCTCCATTGAATTTCTTCGTCTGGTCTCGAATCACTCTGCTTACATCTTCAAAGCGCACGGGATCGTCGAGTCTCCCAGCTCTGCTTGAGTATGTCACAATTGCAAACAACACACCATGATAGCTCACCATCGTCGCACACGCTTCCAAACTTTGAACCTCCGTCCTGCACAGTCACCGGGGGGGCTGCTGACGAGCTGAAATCCCCACCTTTGACTTTGGACGGGCCGAACAAGCGAACACCGCAGCACTCGATGAAGATCTTCTGGGGGATGATGTTGCAAGTCGAGATTAGGCAGAGGACCCTTGAGTCGACTGCGACGAAGCCCGCCTCACCCTGCAAGTCCGTGACCTTAGCGCTGTCCTCACCGATGAGACAGCAGCATCGGCATGCATTCTTGTAGAAATTCATCGACTCGTCGCACAATCCCTCGAGTCGATTGTCGTACGACTGTTTGACACAAAGGCATTTGCTGTCACCTCGTCCTCCACACTTCTTCTCATCAAGCTTCAAGTAGCACTCTTGATTCTGCCTTTGACAGATTCCATTCTCGTCCAGACATCCCACGCAGGAGCATTTGCAGGAATTATACTGGCAACAACATTTGTACTCGCTGCTCAGGCATAGCCCATCAGGTCCTCTCAGACCCCCGAGCTCGTTGAAGCCCGTGTGCTGGATGCAGCAGCACTTGTCGTCCAGCTTGCATATTTGCTTTTGTCCCTCTCCTGACGATTCCCAAGAGCTATAGGGAGCAATCCCAAACCCATCTATTGCAATGTTGCAGATCCACCAAACATCCCAATCAGCAGGATGCTTCGATTTCTGCGCCTGCATCATATGTCATATGTTGGTCATTGCGCTCAATTTTTTGCTGGTTTCAACCCGTGCCCTAAATCGGCTACTTCTGCTACCTGCACTCCATTTGTTGCATCTCACACGCAACGTTTTGACTGCTCTGTGATTTCTCGGGTAAGGAAGGTTGACTGAGGAAGATGAGCATGAGCGGGAGGATCAGAAGAAACTTCTGAGCAGGAGCAGGAGCAGCAAGGGGGTATGATTCAAGGGTTGTGGTTGGTCAAGGTCTGTCAAGTGCTCGTTGAGTGTGGCATGTTCTTTCGCTTGCTCACCGGCATTTCCACTGACGGCGGAATTCAACCGCAAGAGATGGGTGGGTAGGTGGTCGACGCCGGGTTAATGTTAAACGGGGGAGGGGGGTTCAAAGTAATGTGGGGTGGGTGATCTTATTTTAAAAACAATACAGCATTGTATGGTGAGTGATTACTTTGTAGGAAAATTAGCTGCAACAATTCTTCAATTTTGGGTTCCAGGTAGGGTGGTGGAAAGAGGGACCGGGAATAGTGATTCCCCATCATTGAATTGCATTTCCGGAATGTCACAGGGGTGGGTGGCCGGAGATAGCTGAGGGGCGCTCCTGTACCCCACCCAACAATACCCCGTGGCTACCCTTCCGAGTTCCGTACCCACCCCACGTGACCCTACCCTACCCTACCCTAGTGTGACCCTAGTGACTCAGTCGGGTTGGTACCGCCGGTGCTCGATGAATTGAGGGTCACTAGTCGCAACTTTGCAACCGTCACCGTCTCAGTCTTTGAGTAAAAAAGAGAGTCTCAGTGGTACCGTACTAGTCCGATCACTGAGTGACCGTCGGACTCCGGGACAGTCGGACCCCGGGCCCGGCGCCGGACCGGGCGGTGGGCGGCCGCCCGGAGCGGCCTACCGTAAGTCCGATCATCGAGCCTCGCATCATCCCTATGTCATGTGACATGGACGAGTCACAGGGATCCCCCAAGCAGAGCCAGGAGTCGCACAAGATGACGACGAGGCCACCAGATAGCTGGCAAAGAAGCTGAGGGGTGACATGACAGCGAGAAAATCTCGATGATGGAGGGATCAGTCCTGATCAAAGTCGCTCTGAATGTCAAAAGTGACAAGAGCTGTTTTCAATCCAACCTCAAAGCCTGTACGTGGCCAACAGTGAGGAGAGGAATTACCTCATGATTCCACTGGTCAAGCACCGCGATGATTGAAGCGGCAAGCCTAGAGCACGGCAGATGAAAGCTTGAAGGTTGTGAAGACCGAGGAAGGGAGACGTCCCATTGAAGCCTCATTGCATGCCACGATCTCACGATGGCGATATGATGACACAAACCAACTCTACAGTAGAGTTGAAGAAATGAAAGGCAGCTTGAAGCGCCAAGCCTTCGCAAGACGAAGAAGCAGACGATGAAGACATACCTTCGATCGAAGTTATGAAATGATGCTGCAGAAATGAAGGAGGTCCCAAGTCGCCAGGCACATCAGTGCTGATGGGCGCTGAGGAGAACCTTTCAGTACCATGCACAGCCCTACTGCGAAAGTCAAGTCAAGAGGCTGATCGCTTATGGAAAGAGGAATATCGGGTCTGATGAGCAAGACCATACAGCTTCAAGGCAGACGACCAGAGACCAAGCATGATCCCAACTTGCTGTCAAGCAACAGCTCCCGCCTACTCTAGGCAAGGGAGGGAATACGGCGGCGACGACGCGCGAAGAGTCAACCGCAGCAGGTCGTTTGAAAAGGCATAGTCAAATTTGACAAGCCTGACACCGTCAATGGAGGCGCGGCAAAGTAACAATGCTGGCATCGGCACACAAGAGCCAAGGGAGGGTGTTGAAGCACCTGATAGGAGGAAGCTTCACCTCAGACAATGCCAAGTAATCGACGTGGCTCAAGTGCACAGATGCTTAGAGCCTCGGAATGCGTCCCTGGAGAGGACAGCAACAGCTACAATAAGGACGACGTAGGAGAATCATGAAGAAGACAGCAAGAACTTAGGAATCGTGGATGGCAGCAGGAGATAAGCGAGTCAGCTTATATCAGTCCACGACAGGACAGCAGATGACACCGTCACGGTGGCAGGATATGGCTACGCTCAAAGGGAGATTGGAAGCATCACCCCTGAAGTCATGGACATGGGAGAACAAGGGGTCTGATCAAAGAAGACAGTACTATCATGATCATCTTAGCGGAGGACTTACAAGGAATGCACGAGACCACCTCCAAGCATGCTCCTACGGAGACACAGGACCTGTCAAGGTCAAGGGAGCAGCTACATCAACTTCACAGAGAGCGTTGGATGAGAATCGAAGACCTCGTCATGTCAAGCCTATGACTCTTTCTTAGGGAACCCTCAAGGTACGGAACCAGGCCTCGGACCGGTCGAAGAATCATATCGCAGATAAGAAGCGTAGAGTACCGGTAGTCGTAGTTCCTAGGACCAAGCAGTCCCTATTTTAGGGACCGAGGAAGAGGAAGAAGGGCCGCACGCATTGGCAGGACAGGGAAAGGAGAACGAGGTGTATGGTCTCTGTGAGATCGGATTGCTTGAAGTAAACAAGCTTGACCATCTATACCAATCTCTTATCACCTCCGTTTGTTCTCTGTATCCTGATATCTTTCCTGCGCGGCCATTCGTGATATCTATTACCACTGCTACAGAAACTTGCAGTCGGTGCTATCACTGTCTACTTCGGGTGTCATTGCCACTGTGTCACAGGCTGTGGAGAGAAGGTTACTGGGAACTTCAACACTACGGTACTCCAATGATTCCGAACCCGGCGTGAACTTTTACTTGTAACCGTTGAACGATGTAACATGGGCCGTCGGAAATGACGGCCTGAGCGAAAACTATCATTGCCAAGGGCACTGCAATCCGATGATGATGAACTGGTATTCAGTGCTTCGGACTCAGACTCGAAGAGGGGGCTTTCCTAGCCGTCTTGCTAAGGTCCTCTCATGTCTGGATGCATGGGTTTCCGAAGTTCACATCCTAGGCGCGGCATACACGGGCACCCGTCCGAGGCTATCTCTCACTGTGCTCGAGGCTCACTGCCAGTCAATTCTGGTTTTGTGTGCATTAAACTCGGTCTTGAGCAAAAACTGTCTTGTTACAACTAAGGTCGATGTGATGTCTGCGTGACTTTGGACTAGTACAAGTCTAACAAATGATCAACAAACTTGTATTCCGTCGGTTATGAGCCTCGATTACATGCTCAATTGAAATCATGATGTTGATCTTATCCTCCCGTTTGGTTAGTTGAATTGTTTACTGGAGTTTTTTCTTTCTTGGTATTGTTTTCGTTACTGTTGAAAATTCATGCAATTCTAGTACGGTGACCACGACGGCCACGGTCAGAGCCGCTTGAGCGGCGGGCCGCGGGGGGGCGGCCGGGCCGGTTCTTTGCCGGGCGGCCCAGGCAGTGACAAGCCCCGAGCCTAACAAAACGGCTGGCATACGATCCGCACTGGCAACTTCGTCGGAGCGGCCCGGCGGCGTTCAACTTCAATGTGAAACTGCCTTCCGGCGGCGGGCCGGGCTCCGGGCGGCCTCGGACTCGGGAGGACTGACAAGCTCGCCTCGGGCACCCCAAGAGTCCAGTCAATTCAATCGTTTACTCAAAGTTAAGTTAAAAATAATTCAATAACGTTCGTCACTGGTACTGGCAATGGCCTCGCTAGGTGCGAAGGTCATTTATCACCCTGACTGGACCCGGTAGGCTTCGGAATTATGATCCGTCAGTCAGGGTCAGCCGTACGGCAGCTTATTTCGGGAACATTCATTATAAATTGATAATTAGAAATAAAACTATATTTTGTAACATATGGTACAGATGTTCACTCAAGAATCTATATTGAATGTAGTTATTGAATTTATCGGTACAAACTGATATTGATAAAAAGAATTGTTGAACTCGCTTTCAGAGGCGTCATGTTCGCACTGTTGAGACAATGGCAAGATCTGCAGCAGGTGAGCCAGCAGGCGCTCTTAGCGATCAGAAGGAGAACACAGTTCCAGGGCTTAGACTCAAGAATTCTTTCAAGGAATATCCATGCTTGTGCTTGTTGGCATCATTAACAAAGCAGAAAGTTCATTGTTTTGTCTGTTCGAGGTTACCTTCATCTCCAATGACGAATTCTTGTTCAGAAAACACAAGTGTTATCGGACTCTGATGGAATATGCGTGAGCCTGGATTAAATTCCTTTGTGCTTCACTTTAACTGAATTTTCAGAATCCTCTTCCGGGTTGGGACCCAAATTTGAATCCAACATCCTCCCACGATGATCCTGATTGTTCTTTGAGTGCGATGGCAGGACAAAGAGGTGAACTGATTGACCATGAAACTATGGCATGAAGATTCTCCTCACAGGCTTGGGTTATGGTGCATCATTCGGACAGGCCAGTGTAAGATATCCTGGGCTCTACGCCTAGTTGAAAAATTTGTGAATGTATTTGGCCTATTGTACGTCACTTCATATTATTTTTGCAAATCTTGCTCTTGCACTGATGAGATAAAAGAGAAAAATCACATTCCATCCCGAGATTCGAGCCTTCCTAGGGCTTGGCGAACCTGCCATGCTTCTTAAAAGCCTCCGAATGGCACAAAGTTTACTCACCTCGAATGATTGGAGCTTGGGCACAATATTGATGATAGAGTATGGTTGGTTCGGATTCTTATTGTAGTAGTCTTGATGATAAGTTTCTGCTTCGAAGAATTCGTCAAGTTTCTTCACTTCAGTCATTATCTCTGCTCGACGGGGGAAAATACCGAAGAGTTTTTGCGAATTGAACTTGTTCTGTGCCTGCTGAATCGCTTCAAGTGCAACATTCCTTTCTTCCTCGGTTTCATAAAAGATAATAGATCTATATTGTGAGCCTATATCAGCACCTTGCCTGTCCTTCTGGGTGGGGTCATGTGAAAGCAAGTGAAGATCGAATATATCTCTGAGAGATATCATTGTGGGATCATACTCAATTCGCACAACCTCTGCGTGTCCGGTCTTGCCTGATACAACTTGTCGATAGCTTGGGTTCTTTGTTTTCCCTCCAGCATACCCACTGCGAACTCGAATGACGCCTTTGGCTCGTAAGAAAACAGCCTCTGTACACCAAAAGCATCCTCCACCAACTGTTGCAAACATAGTTTCGGAAGCTTGTGGAGTGATTTCCATGTTCCAAGACGAAGCTTGAATCCTGCATCTTCGAAACGAAAATCTAGTCGGCATGTTGTACATAGACAATGAGGAACCGGCGTTATTTGAATTCCGTTTCTGACGTGGAATCCATTTCACAAACAAAGGTGAATTCACGCAAGAAACTGCGAAGCACTCAACGAAGACAATGTTGTAAAGCGCCAATACTATGAACAGCACAAGAATATTTGTCAAGGAAAACAACGGCATTCTGAGAGAAAGATGTGCTTCTCGCAACCAATTACTTCTTGGGCGTCTGAGGTACTGGTGGTTCATTGCCGGGTTCAGTTCGCAAACACTGAAAGAAAACTTTGATTGGGGTCTGAAGGTTCGATAGATCAAAAGAAAATAGACAGAGGAAGGGAGCACACCGCAATATGTGACGGTCCTATGAAAGAGAATGAGGACAGAATAAGGTGATTTTTACATATCAGAGGCTATCACCTGCAAAAAAACCAGCTAAGACTGCATCTAGATGCGGGTTACACCTGAAAAGCAGTCCATCAGTATAAAATTTGAACGGAAATTTTTTGGCCTCTCTTTTGATCCCTCTAATTTTTTTCTGAAATGTTTGCGAATCTCTATATTGTTTGTGACATTGCCTCTATCCGTATGTTCGCATTGATACAATTGATACAACTTTCTTTCCTCGCACCTGTGCGGTTTAATCTCCCGCTTCAGCTCCTTCGTCATTCTTCTCAGCGGTCACAGCTCACGCGTCAGCTTTTAGAAGCCCTTCAGAAGGTGACCATCATCATTTTGTTTTTGGGTATATATACTCTATTTCTACCTGTCTGTTAACTCGGCGGCTGGTCAAGGTGTATATCACCCCAACCTTTTTGATCAGTTCAAATCTCCATTGTTGCTTAGTCGCCAAAGTTCGAACCCGATCGTGGGCAGTTTCGATGTCAACCTTCGGAACTGATTTTTTAACTTGCCACTGTGACTGATAACTTTCACGAGCTCAGTGGCTCAATGTGACTCATGAACTTCAAAAGCCTCCGCCTGGCATCATACTGCGACGTCACCCGGCAGTCCGCTGATCCGGCGACCGTTGAACTTGCGGCCGGGCCCAAGCCGATCCGATCGGACCGTACCGTACTACGGTACGAAGTAGTAACTTAAAGTTGAGTAAAGTCATGACGGTACCGTGGCAACCGTCCCGCGGCGGGTGCAGGGCCTCCGACAATGATGTGCCACCGTCACAGAGTCATGCACCGGGTGCCGACTCATTTGCACTGCACATTGTCCGGCCCGGGACTCACGAGTCACGGCGGATGGGACCGCCGTGACTCCGACTCCGAGGCCGACAGCGCGGCCCGGAGTGTGCCCGGCCCGGCCCGGCCGCCGCCGCACCTTAACTTCGGTGAGTGGGTGGTAGGCACCCGGGTTCCGACAGAATGGGAGGCAGCCATGTCACAGTGCAGGTAAGGAGAAGGCCAAGGGGAGAAGGAGGAGAGAGAGATAGGATGCAGGAGAAGCTGGAGGTAGGAGACAGAAGCAGGAAGGTCAAGTGCACAGACACAGTTATGAAGGATGAGTAAGATAGAAACATGTCACGAGGTATGACATATGTGCATGATAGATCGGTCAATGCGGCAATCAGCTCGGCGAGCAATTCTTTTCGGCTTTAGGGAGCGAGGAGCACGTGCGTGAAGGCTCCTTGAGGACGAGAGAAGCTGACAGTAAGCCCAGGGCTCTGATCCCCTCTGGATCTCCCACCCCAACTTCTTCCGGGAGATATCTAGACGGTCCGTCGATTTCGCTGCTGCCTAGTTAACGTGCGGATAGCAGGGACAGGAAGAGAAGCAGATGTCGAGCTGTGTTGGTGGACGCTGAGCCTCGGGTTGTATCCGAGGTAAGACCTTGTTCTCCTTCCATGCCGCCAACAGCTTCGCACAGATATGCCAAACGTCGCTTGCTCCTGCCAGAAGCAAGTAATGATTTCTTCACCTCGTTATCAGCTGCTTGTGAATGGAAGTTGAGTGTACTGTGGGATGGCAGGAGCTGGTTGTATCCTGAACTCGATGAAGCGATCGTCAAGTCTTGGAACAAAGTTGGTTCAAGCGGGTCGGCAAACAACTGGGCGTACGGCTACAAGCAGCAGGGTCTTGGACATGATGACAACTGTAAAGGTGGTGAATTGAAGCAGGAGACGCGATGGGAGAATGTGTGCTAGAGAGTGTGCGCAAGGAAGTTGAAAACTGCGACTGTCTGGACTCTTTCTTCTTCCTGCAGAGCTTGGCTGGTAACTTTACGTCCTCTACTCATGGGCCTTCGCTCTTATCGATCCTAGGTGGGACTGGATCAGGGTTGGGCTCCTTGTGCTCCGAGCTGCTGAGAGACGAGTACCCAGCTCGCTTCCAACTGCATGCAGGTCAGCCGAGGCTTGCGGCTGATGACTCTGAGGGCCTCCCAGTCGTCTGGCCATACAGCAGCGGCGACGTGGTGGTCCAGGCGTACAACTCGACTCTCTCACTGTCACATCTCCTCGACTCCTCGGACGGCATCCTCTGCTTGCATAACGGTCGTCTGGTCCTGGTCCTCCTCGTCCTCTCATTGCTTGGCAGACGAGGCGCATGACATCTGCTCGAAGCTCCTCGGAGTTCCTCGGCCATCCCTCAGTCACCTCAACCAGGTTGGTTTGCGACGACGACGAGGATGTAGCGTGGGCTGGGAGGGAATCGCATGGGGATGAGGATTACACAAAGTTCTTGTAATGTTTCTACAGGTCTTGGCAGATCAGCTCGCGTCGCTGTTTTTTCCTGTCCGCTCAAGGCTCGCGAAGACAGAGCCTGAGCGTGCAATCAAGGTGAATCTTCTTGTGCCCTCCGAATGTTGAGCATGCATAAGATGTCGGAGTTGCTCTCGTCGCTCTGCTCCTCTCCTCTCCACAAGCTTCTTTCCCTCCGCTGCCTCCCCCACATCCCCAAGCGATCCCTCGCCTTCACCAAGGTCGCACGGGCGCTGTCGTGACGCGGCTGACCGTCGCAGTAGCTGCGATGGGAAGCGGTCCTCAATCCCCTCGCGCAGGTCCCGCGTCTCGCCCCCATGCTCGAGCTCATCATCGCACAGATGCAGCTAACGGGCTGGCACATGGACGAAGGGCTGGACTGGAGCATGTCGCCCTCCTCGGGATCGTACAACAGAGCCATCGCGGCCATGTTGCTTCTGCGAGGAGAAGGATGGTAGGAGGGTCAACTGTGGGCTCTTTCTTGACTCTTGCAAAGGCAGGAGGCAGAGACGAAGCGGTTCAAGGACTGTCTTCATGCCGGTTGGAGTGAACGGGGTGACAATCTGCAGGTAACAATGGAGGAGGAGGCGGAAGAGGACACCGACCGAGGCTGAGGTTGGACAGGTGCTCGGCAGCCCCCAGCAGTTCAAGGGGCTCGAGCGCAGCAGCTGCATCCTCGCAAACTGCCAGTCAGCGACCTCCTGCTCCTCCTGTCATGCTCACGATTGTGAAGGTCCCAGGCCAAGCTGCTGGATAAGCTGCTCGAGCGGACCGCGGCGCTGCGAACAGCACGAGCGTTCCTGCACCAGTGAGCGAACCCCTACCCCTACCGCTTCTGCTACCCCTACCGCTACGTCTAGCTAGCTGCCGACTTGCTTTGCTCTGAAGGTCTCGGCAGGTACGAGAGGTACGGGACGAGCGAGGAAGACGTGGACGAGGCGATGGCGGGGCTAGAGCAGGTGAAGCCAAGAAGAGGCGCGAGGAGAGAAGCATAAGATGAAGACGTGATTGAGGATCAAGAGGTGAAGAGGGCAGAGAGAAAACGAGCTCGACATTGAGGGGAAGGCAGTGAGATGAAGATGATGGAAAACCTGGAGAAAAGAGAGGGAGGGAGTAGGAGGGAGTAGTAAGACGAAAACGGACAAAGAAGAAGAGACAAAGGAAACTTGACACGAAATCAGGTGATTTCCGACTATCATCATCTTTGACGGATCTATCAACTATGTACAACTGTAAGCTCCTGCTTTTGTCGACCTTTTGTTCCTCCGCTTCTTTCCTTTGCCTGCGGCTCTCCTCCTGTGTAATCAGCACCCGAGCGACTGAGACGCGTCCTTCCAGCAGAGCACGCAGTCAAACAGCTTGTACTGGTTCTGGCTCGCGTCCTGCAGGTTCCACACCAGCGGCGAGCTGTACTCCAGGGGCTGGTGGGCGTGTCAGGAGAAGTAGGGGAGGAAGAGGACGAGGAGGTGAGGGGGCTGGCAATAGAAAGGAGGAGCAGAATTAGGAGGAGGAAAGACCTTGACGCAGTTCCACTGGTAGTTTGTCCCCTGATAGCTCACCGACTTCATGAGGTCCGTGTAGCCCAAGTTGGTATGGACGCCCCTAGGACAAGCGTCGGTGCCTCCTCGCGCCTCCTCCGCCCTCTGCTCACCTGTACGGGGAATCCAGCGAGTTGTAATCCTGATTCCACTTGTCGATGAGCGTCCTGGGAACGTGAGTAAGGACAGCGATGGGAAGCCCGAGCGAGCAACGAAGGAAAAGGGTGGAGGGGAGGAGGGGCGTGTGGGGGGATGATAATTGTGGAGGATGCAAGAAGCATCGGAGAAGCTTGTCACCTTTGCAGCACAAGATCGCGGGCACCAGCACACAGGCACGAGTAGGCCGGGTTGAACTTCTTCTTGGCGATACCAAAGTCAAGCGTGTCAACATCCTGTGTGAACTGGAGGTAGACGAAGCCCCTAGAATCAGGTCAGGCTGAGGAGGAGAAAGCAACGAGGAATGACTCTTTCACTCGTCGATTCAGCTGCGCTAGCCCGGCAACGTTGAGGACATGGATGTAGTCGAAGGGAGCCGGAGCCACCGGGTTGAAATCCACCAGCTTGATCGCGTTCTGCACAGGAGGAGGAGGCGGAGGAGGTGGAGGAGGCGCCGGAGCAGCAAGAGGGTGCAGGACGGCAGTAGCGTTGACGACTGTGAGAAAGAGGCAGGAGGTAGGAAGAGAAGTAGCCAAGCAACGTCCCTCGGTCGCTCCTTCAATTTGACAAGCTGTGCTGTTGACCGACAGAAAAACCTGCGCGCAGAGCATGGCAGACTGCTGGTCCAGAACCTTGGAGCAAATGGGCGTGAGCGTCAAGACAGCCTGCCCGTTGCCGTTCAGAAGGTCTTGATTGCGCACAACAGTCGGGTCAAGCAGGTTTATGGCAAAGCTGAAGAAGCAATGTCAGCGACAAAGAAAAGGAAGAAGAGGTCGACACAAGACGGGGTATTGGGGACAAAAGGTAAAACATGTGTGGTGTAAAGCAGATTTAAACTTCAAAAGGAGACGGAAAAGGAAGAGGGAGGAGGGAGGGAGGGAGGGAGGGAGGAGAAAGGAGGGAGGAGGGAGAGAGAAAGGGACAGGTCACCTCGGGTTCCATGATGTGAGGTACACATCCATCTTGACAGGCAGCGACGAGGCCGTGAGAGCGGAGGCCAGCGGCATTCCTACTTTGAACGTGACGCTGACCTGGTCGAGGCAGTTGAGCTTGTAGGGGTTTGAGGGACTCGAGTGGAGGTTCCAGGCAGAGCTGAGTGGATCAACAGGTCACAGACCTGCTCCAGAGCTATCGTTGTCACCTGGATCCGACCAGCATGTCCAGCTGCGGTGAAACATAGTTCACCTCCTGTACAACCTCCACAAAAATCTCAACAGGAGTAGAGCCCATGGAGCTGTCGAGGCACCGACAAATTGAGCCAGTCAGAGCAAAAGAGCCTGAGTCTCTCCTCACCTGCGAACTTCTACCCCGACGGTGAAGGCGCATGGAGGCAGCCAGGAGAGAAACGCTCCTTTCGCTTGCTCAAGTTCGCTCGCGCTTGTGCACAGCTGCAAGGCCGAGGGAGGGACATAGAGGACTCCGACCGCAGGGTCCAGGTACAACCCGGACACTTGGCTCAGCGGGAATTGGGCGAATTGCTAGTGTGAGAGTCAAAGGGCCAGCAGGGACAGGGGTGGCAGACCTGGTAGGGGTACAAGGAGCCCAAGGAGCTTGCGTCCACCAGATGAAAGCTCAGGTCACCCGCAAACTTATTGAAGGGAATGTACGCATCGACTTGAAACGCGTTGTCGTATTGCACGTGGCACATCGCTCCGCTGTGCGCAAGGGAAACTGCTTCTGGCCGCCATGACGGGCCCAAGTACCGCAAGTCGCCATAGCTCGAATCCCAGACGCCACCGATACCCTCGACGTGAGGATAGTTCTGCTGGTATGACGGCATGCGGTCGATGAAATTCGACGCATTTCCACGTGCGACCACCCAACACGCGCCAGTCGCCCAAGCACCTGTCGAGGAGATTCAGTGGGCAGGGGAAGCGCGGGAGAGGGATGTACCGTTGTAAGGAAGCAAGAATCTATCACTAGAGGATTCCAGCCAGAGAATAGAGAACATTCCATCTTCACGGACAAATGCAGAATAGCTGCCCGCCTTCCTGATTGTAATAGTGGAATCGATATGCAGCTTCAATGGCAACTCGACGTATTTTCCGCTGACGTCAGCATCGCTCAGCACAGATTTAAGAGTTGAGCCTGGTTTAAGTCGTCAAGGTACGCAAATGATTGGCACGTGAACAAGACCGGATTTTGATCGAAACATGAAGGCTCGGGTACCTCCTGATCTCAACCGCATCTGAATGATCGGGACTGACGCTCTTGGCGACATGACGGGGACGGGGGTCATGCTCGAGAGCATTGCTCTTGCGCGAACCTGCCAAGGAACCTGCTGGGGGAAAAGAACTCTGGGAATATTTGCAAGCTCAGGCCAGCGACAGCATCCTTGAAATACCAGCTCGTAGTCTCCTGAGCTTGGAGCCATGAAGGAGAAAGTGAAGTGCGAGGCCACATGGTGTAGAATGCCGGAAGCGTCTCGCTGAACATGGTCCACATGGAAGTTGTAGCCTTCTCCCTCCTGCTGCCCTAGATACTCGTAGGGCACCAGCTCCATCTGCCCGTCGACATGCCTCCAGCCAATCTCCTGCTTGAACGCGTCGAACATGCTGCGGAGGAACAAGGATTGGTTCTGTGGGAGATATCGCCCTGGCCCCTGTGACTGCAGCTCCGTGCGACCTTGACTAGCCTTCAGGTACATGTTCCACCATACGGTCGAGACCGTGACCTATCAACACATGTCATACAAGCTTGAGACGCAGCCATGGCGTACCGCAACATGTAAAGGATTGTATCGATCTTGTTGACACACTTGCGGGAAGGCGGGGTCATAGAATCCAGAGTTGCAGGTACTCCATGAGATATCCACGGATGCAATGTCAAGCGCTCGCGTTGAGATGAGTGAAGAAAGTGCCAAGCCTATGAGGAGACAACGTTGCCAAACAGACATGCCGGCACTCAAATCTCCGAAGTAGCACTGTAACAAATGAAAGTTATGAGATGCAGTGCCTTAAAATTTGCTCAACAGTCAATCTCACTCTCTCTCTCCTGGCTCCATCTTTTATCCTTGGTCTTCGCGACTGACCGCACTGGTGGGGTTCTTCCTGTCCTCCATGGTCCATCTTGCCTTCTCTTGTCGGACTAGTTCATCACTGACTGCATCATGGCTCCGCTCGTCTTGTTGCGCTACTGCTTCATCTACATCTTGCCATGATGCCCCTTCACTTTGACCGCCATCAACCCTCTACATAGAATCAACTCTGAGCCCGCCTCACTTCCTCGGATGTTTCTCATTGAAACGACCCACCCTCCCATCATCCAGTACCCCACCCTACCTAATGACTGATCAACACCTACCCCTACCTCCTCCCCTGGTTGCCCTCCCCGACTGTAACCTGACCTCCGATGCTGAGCATGACTCGAAATGGGCGGGTGAACGAGGAGAACAGCGGCAGAGCAGCCTCCGGCAAGGAGCTTGAGTCGGACATGCGGAAGAAGAACAGAAGAGCAGGAGAACAGAAGAACAGAAGAGTCGAGCAGGAGAACAGAAGAACAGAAGAGTCGAGCAGGAGAACAGGAGAACAGGAGAACAGGAGAACAGAAGAACAGAAGAACAGAAGAGTGCAGCAGGAGAACAGGAGAACAGGAGAACAGGAGAACAGGAGAACAGGAGAACAGGAGAACAGGAGAACAGGAGAACAGGAGAACAGGAGAACAGGAGAACAGAATATAAAGAGAAAAGGATCCGAGGCAGGATAGTAGAGGAGAGCGAACTTTCAAAGAAACCCTCAAACTCTAAGCCTGGCAGCGGCGGGGGGGAGGCGGGTGGGGAGTGGGGGAGAGGGAAAGAGGGCGCGATGATTTCGACTCCTCACGGATCTTGACAACATGTAGAGGTGTGAGATGGATCTAGTGATGGGAAGACAGACAGAACGGCATTCACAATCTATGAAGATCAATCTCATTCAAGGTTGCCATTATATTGAGTAGCTCGCTGTATTCTTTCCTGTTTTCTTCCGCCAATGTTGGTTGTTGCTTACCATGACTTTTGTTAGGAGCTTTCAGTAGGTAGAGATGAGGGAAAGAAAAGAAAACAGAAGTTTGTCACAAGTTTATCTGAACATGCTTGATCGATTCTCTGCTACGCTTCATGTCTCGAGGCTAATGCGGAGAGCATGGATGGCTGTTAGCCACCAACGGAACTTGGGCATGTGCTTTTCAGAGCCATGCAGCCAGGTACTCATGAAAATTTGCCTGTCATTTTGGCAGAGATTTTATCGTATTCAAACGAAGAAGAGGAAAACATTGGTCCTGTTCACATGGCATCGAGAGATGATGTTGGTGAGAACAGCTCTGCTTGCTTGGATGGGATGGCAAAGTGAGCAGGAGGTGCGAAGACGTGAATCGAGGACGAACAAACCTGATGCAAGTGTAAGACCCGGTTCTCCTCTCGATTCTCTTGACTTCTTTCCTTTCAGACTTTCTCCCCTAAGGACTTTCAGAGTAAAATACTAGCGGCCCTGTCAGCTAGGATGGTGAGATCTCAACGAAGACGTGTGTTTCATTATTGGTGGCTCAGCGCAATGAGGAGACAACTGAATGCGACGAGAGATCGAAGTCAAGATTCAAGAAGAAGCCCAGATAGAAAGTCAGGGCAATCAAACAGACATGATGGTTCTCTTGATACATCTAAAACCTCAAGACACTCTCACGCAGTCTCATCGGAGTTGAAAGACTCACAGCACAGCGATGATCGCGTTGACAGCAAAGGTTGGGAGATTCAGAACCTCCAACCGTCTCTTGCCTCGTCTGCTCCATCGATACACACATTCTTGAGAGAAGACAGCAGCATCAGCATCCGGTGGAACCCGCTAAGAAGCGCTCAGCTGTACGAGCTTCAGTATCGGTTCAAAGACGCGAGAGCCTCGTGCTGGTGAGTTCTCCCTCCGCTCCTGTTGGGACGATGACTAGTTGGTGGAAGGGGGAACTGGGTGTTGGTAAGCAACTCGCTGAGGGACACGTCTCACTGCATTCCTGTTCGTGAGGTGAGGAGGAGGGCGGAGAGAGAGGCCTGACCGAACCTTGACTGTCGCCTAGGAGGCTGTCTACTCCTTCAGGGTCCGAGCAAGCGTCGGAGAGGGCTGGAGCCCCTGGTCTATGTCCTCCGAAGCTTGTTCGCTCGCTTCCCTCGGCTGGCAGGACCCTCCCAGTGTCATCTCTGAATCTCCATCCCCTGGCAAGGGAGAGAGCATCGCGAGCGGTAACGCCTCTTGTAACGCCTCTCGGCACGAGCATGCGAGCTTGACTCCTGCAGCAGGCGTTCACTTCAACTCGCCCTCCAACGACCTCCCGTCGGATAAGAGTCGAAGCGAGTCCGTGAACGGAAGGTGTGCTGACGATGCGGTTCGAGGACGAGTCTGACTTCATAAGCAGCTTGCATGAAAATCTCCTGATGCAGTACAAGCAGAAGGTGCTTCTGCATCGGCGCCTGATGAATGATCATTTGAACGAGTCGTATCATGATGAAGAAGTCTCATCGAGTCCAACAAAAATCTGTCTTGTTTAAGTTCAAGGATTTTACTTGTCAGTATGTATCAAGAAATATAGATACGTGTATCATAAATTGACTGTACACCTTACACTACACACTAAGAGAAACAATGTACATATGCTATACATCCTTGCTCTTCGAGTCAGCAAGCGCGCTCCATCGACCATCCTTGAAGAATTGCTCGAACTTGAAAGGTCCAGTGAAGTTGAAGGTGACTTGACACTGAAGCAGCATGATGATTTGCTCAGGAGCTGAAAGAAGCCAAAACCAAGGCAGATAGGGAGGGAGGGAAGGATGGAGAGAGTGGAGGGGGGTGGGAGGGAGGGAAAGAGGGGGGAAGGGAGGGAGAGAGGGAGGGGTGGAAGGGAGCAGGGCCGAGGGATGGAAGCAAGCAGGTACACCTGTGAATTCAGCCGAGCGGCAAAGATGGTGGCAGCAGGAACGAAAGCGCAGTTAGCTTGTAGTCTCATGTCTTCCTGCTTCAACTCAATCAAGAGAACAGACAGCCCGCCTCAGCTAAAACCTCCTGAGCAGCCGACAGGTCGATGGTCTTTCCATTCACGACGAACACAGCGCGACTGTTGGCGAGGTCGAGGCCACACCCCACTACTGAGTTCTGATGGAACGAGAAGCCGACAAACTCCGCCTGGCAAGCAGCAGCGATGAGCATGTTGCAAGGCATGGGCTTGATACGAACCTTTCCTCTGGCATTCACGAACCCGTCGTTCTGGATTGACACCCCGTACGACACTCCGTCCTCCCCGCACGTCAGTCCGGCGATAGGGAAGTTGGCAAGGGACTCTCTCTTCAAGTCCCATCCGACCGCACAGGTGGAGCCGAAGGCAGCGTCAAGGTGGTCAATGGTGACCTCGTAATAGGGTCGCCCCCAGGAGCCACAGACCACATGAACAATGCCCTGCACTGGCGCAAACCTCTGCGGGTGAATGACCGAGACAGTTGAGTTGGAGTTGGACAGGCGAATGTGCGCGCACTTCAAGGACGCGTTCAGAGCGCCCATGCCCCTGAAAGAATGTCAGTGCGAGACAGACGAGCAGAAACTTCGACCGAGAAGAATTTCGCTTGCTGACGGCTGCCTCCACCAGGTCCGGGAAGGGATGATTTGATTCAGTGATAGCATGCAACTCTCGATTGTTCATCTCCTCCAGCTCTTGTCGGATGATTTTTCTCCGTTGAGCAATTTCGCTCTTGAGAAAGTCTTTGTGCAACCAAGATTGGGGTGGTTCAAGTCTTTGCAGTTCCAGAATCTCCCATGTGCTCAAAGCTGGGAGCAACTCACGATGATATTTCTCCTTAATCAAGTCAGAAGACCACTCTTTGCAGTCGATGTAATCCATGAAGTTCTTTGACACCAGAGACTTGCAAGCGTCTTCTAGAGCACTGATCTGGAACAAGCTCGCTGCTAAAGCGAGCTTCAACGTGACGTCCTTGTCAAATATTTCAGCAATCAGATTCTTGTAAGCTGTCAGTTCATTGTTCGCGCGCTCTCCTTCAATGATTTTCACTCGTTGCGTCCAGCTTCTCAACAACTCTTCCTCGGTCGAGAAGAAAAGCTGGATGTCGTCCAAGTGCTTCTGATACTGCCGTTCTCGCAGAGCGAGGGCTTTTTCCAGCCTTCGGTCAAACGCGTTTTTGATGTTGGAGATGTACTCTTGAAATTCTATCTCGTTCTCCTTCACGAGACTTTCCTTCTCGTCCACTAGCTTCAGCTTCGCCTTCGCCACCCACTCTTCTCGTCGTCTATGCAGTCCCTTGAGATTGTCGTCGTATTTGTTGTCAATCCTTTCCTTGAGCTCCCTCAATTCATCTTCCAAGACTTGCGCCTTCTCAACGATTTGCGGATTTTCGCAGACCTTGAAAACTCGTTCGAGGATGTTGCTGGATAAGACCTGGAATGGTTTTACAGCCTTCAAGTTCGTGTCGTTGACATCTAGCTCGACAACTGCTGGAGAGTTCGGGAGATCGATGCTGGCGGTTCTAGTTCGGAAGAAATCGCTTTGATCAAGGAGAGGCTTTCGCTTTGCCATGACGATTTGAGGCTCTGGGCGGTCTCCTACCACCCGCACCTCAATGGTCGCGTCCTTGGACGAGAAGCTGTCCTCCGCACTCTTATTGGACAAGGAGTCCTGCGTCTTCAGCTCTTGCAAGGTTCCCACCGCCTCTCGCTCCGCCCTGCTTTCCGTCTGAAGGAACATCTTGATCAGCTCCGATCGGTTCGCCTGCTGCGGGTTCGACAGGTCCTCAAATCGTTTCTTCAGGTCATCCACGGACACTCCTTCCTTGGTGAACGTGTATTGCAGTTTGTGTATCATCCCTGACACGAATATCAGCAGTCTACAGTCAGCAATCTCTTGGATAGCACCATTGTAAAGGTTTTCTATTTTCGCCGCTGCTGTCTTCTTCATGCCAAAATGCTTCAAAACAAACCTGAACAAGGTTCACAATGCTTGAAAAGGGGAGGGTCAGGGCAGGAAGGAGGGAGGGAGGGAGGGAGGGAGGGATGGTGTACATGTCTTCATCAACAGTCCACTCGCTCTGGAACACCTCCAAGCCTTGAAAGTGAAGCTCCAGCATATCTGAGGCGAGTGAGTAAAACCAATCAGCGGCATGCGAGCATACCAAGATCTTTGAAGATGTTGCCGGGAATGACTCCCTGAACAGCGACGTTCCTTCCATCAAACTGTTAGAAGCAGAACAACACTGTCTCTCCTCACTTATCCGCATTCCTCGCCTTCAGTCCTTGCGCCTCCTCCATTTGCTTGGACCTGCCATGAAGTCAACAACTCCCATACCATGAACGCTCAAGCCCTCGTAAGCTGAACAAGTACATGCATGCCTCGGTATCTCCTCTCCCCCGCTCTCCTCCCCAACGTTCTCCTCTCCCATGATCTCCTCTCCTCTCCCATGATCTCCTCTCCTCTCCCATGATCTCCTCTCCTCTCCCATGATCTCCTCTCCTCTCCCATGATCTCCTCTCCTCTCCCATGTTCTCCTCTCCTCTCCCATGTTCTCCTCTCCTCGCATCCCATGTTCTCCTCTCCTCGCATCTCCATGTTTTCGCTTGTTGCCCCTTGCGGTTGCCTGCTCCACAAACTCCCTCGCTCCTGCCCTTCCCTCCCGAGCCCCTGTCCGAGCCCGCCCCGATAGTCTTCAGTCAGACTGGAAGTCCCGGTGCTGCCTTTACCAGTTGTCAGTCAGGTGATGGTTGTGTGTACAACTGCCAGTTGAGAAGGAATCAAAGCATCATCATGATACACGTTTGAGTTTATTCGTGAAAGATCTAGGACTCACAACCTGCCGAAGTAGGAGGGCACAGGGGGAGGACGTTTCCCCTTGGCTAACTTGCGTGCATTCCTGCGGAAGAGGATGAACGCTCCAGCAGCTGCAAGGAGAGCAACGGTACGGTCAGCCCAAAATGCTGAACCGGGAATGCAGCAACCTGAGCATGACAAGAAGAGGAGGAGGATTAGGATTCCCATCCTGTTCTCCACGTACTTGGGTGTGGACCATTCTGAGATACTCTGTCCAGCACAAAATCATTCAACACAAATCTCTCGTTGTCATCATCATCTCCAACAACAACCACAACCACGACCACGACCACGACCACAACCACAACCACAACCACAACCACAACCACAACCACAACAACAGCCACAACAACAACATTGTCACCGAATGTCTGTTGTGCAGCGGACTTACTCCAGCGGTGTTCACTTGCGCATCCCTGGACCTCACGTACTTGCCAACAGCATTTGCCTTGAGACAAGTAGTATCTGCCCCCTGCATTCAACAACTTCACTGGACGCAACACCTCCGAAGAGCAAACCTGAGGGCGTTGGCACACTAGCCCCTGTGAGTATCCCTGATCAACAGAGCCCTGACAGCTCGTCTCCTGTTTGTACACGTGGCATCGGATGGAAGGACAGACACCCTCGTCTACTGTCACCGTGCAGAACTGAGGAAGGTACCCCCATTTCTTGGCATGCAGACAGTGCATGCCTGGGCACTTCTTCCGGCTCCAGTGGTGCACTCTCTCCTTCACGAAACATCCCTCCGACTGTCTGTGCGGTCGCGCACAGATCCTCCCCCGAGAGCAGACGCCAGACTCCTGATAGTCGAAGCAGTTGATGCGCGGACAATCCGAGTAGGACGTGCACGCCGCCGGGCTCCTTCCCAGCATCTTGGCTTGATGACAGCTCATGGAGGGGCAGTCCGAGCGGCTGGGTCCATATCTCTTCACGTCCTTGGAGTAGGCTGCCTCCAGGAATGACTTGTCTGTACGCATCTCTGCCTCTGACTGGCGCACTAGCCGCTTGTCCTTGCGAGTTTCGCGCTCCGCCTCGTTGAGCAGGTCCTCGTCCATCTTGACCTCCTGCTTGTATGCCTTGCTGTTCCTCTGCGCCGACGTGGGATGCGATCTTTTCAGCTCGTCTCTCAGCTCTCGCGTCTGCGCCTGCACAGAGCGTTCGCTCTTCTTCAGCTGCTCGTCCAGGTCTCTAGCTTGCCTGTATGCTGTGATCGCCTTGCGCAGCGTTGGGTCCGTCGCTGTGTAGCCCCGCGGGATGTTCAGGTCCGCCACTTCTCGGGCATGGGCTATGAGGACAAGGCTTTGCAGCATAGTGAAGAGGATAAGACTGCTGCCTAGGATTCTCGCCATCCCGACTCCTCCGATACGCAATGTCATCATGTGATCCGTTGTGTGCACCGTATTAAGAACAGGAAGAATCTAAGCAAGGCGGAGGCAGGAAGAGGGAAGGAGCTGTATCAGCAGGAGGTAGTTGAAAGTACCCCTGCTGCAAGCAATTGGACCAAGGTTTTCTTCTTCGGGGCTTGGGGATGTGGAAGGATCAAGGCAGGATCGACGACTGAGACTGCAAAGTGTCCTAGTGCACGAGAGATATGGAGGAAGAGCGGGAGCCGAGAAGAAGAGGAGGAAGGAGAGAAGGAGAGAAGGAGAGAAGGAGAGGAGCAGCGAAGAAGAGGAGGAAGGAGAGGAGGAGAGTAGGAGAGTAGGGACCACAATCTCTGACAGAATGACAGGACACGCGTGCCTGGTCGCCAAGAGCTTAGCCCTGCCTCCCTGGCATGACGTGGACCACCCCTACCCCTCCATTTCCCTCTTGTACACCAGGTCATCCATCCGAAGAGCTGTCACACCCCTACCCCTTGTATCAGCATGAAATGTACCCCTTCAAACGGTTATTTTCCGTTTGAATGTTCCTACTAGCAAGAACCGTACGCTACCGCCACACGCCGGACACCGTCGCAATGACGGCTGTGACGGTGAAAATGCGCGTGTTCGACGAGAACATGCAGGTAGACAACAGGAGGGAGGTCAGCAACATCTTTAGGATGGCATCAGACATGTTTCTCTTTGCGTGGTTCTGACTTTTGATGGCATACAAGAGCAATTTGCTGATTGAAACTTCGTGCGACCGATCGAAGACAGTCAAGGTTCAGCATTTCGTCAGAGACGTGAGAATGTTGACAACTCGAGCAGATATCTAAGATCATTGAAACCAATCTGAGCAACCAATCATCACAGCTTGCTGCTCTACAAGTCGGAGACATGTGACTTAATCTGCTACACGCAAACAATAGGAGGAGCTCACTGTCTGGCAGCTTGTCTTTGGTTGGAAATCAAGATCCGAAGATGTTGGAAGATAGTGAAAGTCTTGTCGATTTTCTCACTCAATCGCAAGAGCCAGTGATGACGTTAGGGATGAGTTCGTCGTATGACTCGATGTCGTCAGGTTCGCTGTGAGTTCACAAACGCGCAGCTGCGAGTTGTTGGACTGGTACGTTGTGTTCTCCCGGAGGAGGAGACGGCAGGAGAAGCCGCGGGGACACATGCCTGCTCGTCGAACGTGGACAGCTCGTCCAAGAGCACAGTGAGTGGCAAGGGAAACCTTGACGCCATGACCAAGACTCTTGTCTGCAGACTACCGTCGGTTTGATCCTCGGAGTAGAGACTGCTCGTGGAGTCAAAGTGGAAGCGATCATTCCCGGCAGCCCTGCGTAAGTCATGAGAGGAAGAGGAGGGAATGAGACTTAAGGGGTGGATCAAGATTCAAGACCAAGAGCTTTCAGCGAGGCGATGTCGTCGCAAAGATCAACGGGGTACAAGACCCCCAAGACCGACAAGTAACTGACGCCGTGCTCAGAAGAAAGCCTCGGCAACCAGCAGCAGCTCTCTCTTGTGGGGGGCACAAGAAGGTGCCGTGATCGATATCCATCAAGTCGCCTCGTGACTGCTTCCTAGGGTCAAGCATTCAGATCGAAGTCATCAAGCCGAATGGAGCTTCCATATTCTCCATCCTTTACTTTGCTAGCGTCGGGCGAATCTTCTACCAATATCAGCTCATGGCTGCTGTTGGTGACTCTGCTTCTAGATGTCCTTGCGATGTTGATCTGCATTGCCAGTGGATCTCTCGAAGCAAATCTACAAAGCAGCAGACGATGAGACAGCAGTAGAAAGTATGTCACAAGGAGCAAAAGAATGTCTTGACTCCTTTGCCAGCGACCATCTCCAAATTGATGGACCTGATTGCACAACGAGAAACAGATCGACTAGAGTCTGAAACCAAAAGAGAGCAAAAGATGAAAGCTCTTGAATTGGAAATTGAAATTCTGAAAAAGGTGTCTTGTATTCGAGCATTGTCATTAACGCTTATTGTATTTAATAGTCGCAATATGCGGATATTCAAACTCTCACAGATCTCAAGAGTCGATGTCACGAGACTGACGCTGAGCTTGCGATGGCCAGAAAGTCCGAAGTGGATCTTCGACTCTCGAGACAATCTTTGGAGGATGAGCTGGTACAAGTGAAGAAGAAGCTGAGGGAGACTGAAGTGAGTCGAGGGCCGTCAGCCTTGCTTCCTCTCACGTGTGCGACAGGACTTGCTTGACAAGGTGACTGCTGTCGGGTCACGTTAGACTCTCCGACGCGTGACGAGCTGGCTGCAGTATCGCAGCTCTCTGCGGGATGACAACTCGGCTGTGGATGAAGTGAACCCGACATGCGGAGGCGCAGAGATCTGATCAGTGATGTCTCAGATCGGAAAGATGACCTTTACCATCATGGACCAGGCAGATGAGATCTTTCGTCTCAATGACTTGGTGACTAGCTCGCCTCCCTTCCTGCCCTCACGCACGCGTAGCTGGTGGCGGTGCAGGACGATCTCAAGACGACGAGGGCGAGGCTGCGGCATCGAGAGCTCGGGATCGAGGAGGGCATGAGACGGTCAGTGACGAGCCTCGTCGGCTGCTCGCTGACTCTCCCGCGCCTCAGGTGGCATACCGACGACTCCTCGACCGACATCGACCAAGTGAAGGGCAAGTCCCTCGCAGGCGTGCTCGTGCCTGCTAGCTGAAGCCGAGGGACCTTCTTCCTCTCAGCAGATCGCCAGCTGCTTGCCATGCGCTGATGGATCTTTGACGGCGAAGCGCGCGACAGTGATGTCGGGCTTGAGATTGACACGCCAACGTCCCGTGAGCTTCACCAACTTTCTCCAGCCTAGCAAGGTACGAGCCTGCGGCAATGGTCAAGCCTGGATGCGAACACGATCGCGATCGCTACCTGGAGGCTCTCAAGTCGATCGAGCTCGAACTTCTTGAGCTCGAGCTGGATAAACATGAGGTCCTGGCAAAGAAGCTTCCAAGCGGAGAAAGCGACGCAGATCTGCAAGACAGAGTGAGAGAGGAGCGAGATCAGACTTGTACCTGCCTTGTAGTATATCATGGAGCAATCTGACCAAAACACCCGCACGAACCCGTCGAATGATTCCATGAGAGCAACGAAAGAAACAAGATGATACCCGCCTCCTCCCTTCGACATCCTCCCGCTTATCGAACGGAACGCACGGATCCTTACCTGACGAGACAGCCAAGCGCCCATGTGAACGCGAACCACTTGACCTCCGACCCTCCTTCTCACTGTCTCCTGCAGCCACCGCCGCCTCCATCTCCCCACCACCACCTGACCCTTCCATGCGACAAAACATCTGACGAGCGATGACTGCAGGGAACGTGTATGACATAATCTGAGAGCATCCGAACGAGATGAAAAAACAAACTGATAAACCCAGCGATGAAACCAACGACGAGAAAAAACAATACGGAAACAAACCATAAGACCCTTGGCTCCCTTCCGTATCCTCCTCGCCCCCGCCGCTGCCTCTCGCCAAGCCCTTGCCGCCTCCCTCCCTTGTCGCTCCCTCCTCGCCTTCTCCAGCTTCTCTGACGCCCTCCGCCTCCTCCGTACCCCTGCCTGGTAGCTTGCCCACGCTTCCATCGCCTCCCGTGCTCGCCTCCTCTCTCCCCGCCTCCTCGTCGTCTCCTCCGCCCGTCGCGCTCTCCTCCTCCCCGTCGCTGCCGCCCTCCTCCACCCTGCTACCGCCTTCCCCGTCAGCGCCTGCTCCTCCTGCCGCTCTGCCTCCATTGCCCGCTGACCCGCCTTCCCCTCCGCCCGTGCCTCCTGCCACCGCCATACTGCCTCCCTCACCAGCGCTCTCGCCTGCCCCTCCGCCCGCGCCCCCGTCACCCGAGCCCTCCGCCGCCGCTCCGCTCCCTCCTCCCGCCAGCCCCTCAAGGCCCTCGCCCACGCCCGCCGCCTAGCCTGCTCTGCCGCCCTCGCCCACGCCCGCCTCCCTTCCCGTAGCCCCCGTGCTCCCTCCTCCCACTCCCGCAGGTACCTCCTCCCCTCTCGCCGCCTCCTTGCCTCTGCCCTCTCCTGGCACACTCGCGCCGTCCTCTGCCGCCACTCCCGTCCCTCCTTCCACTGTCCCCACGCCCTCTCTACCGCCCGCCTTCTCCCCCGCCTCGTCGCTTTCCCCTCTGCCCCGGCTGCTTGCCGCCTCTCTGCCAGCCCCTCCCGCCAGCCCCACAGCGCCTCCCTGTATCTGCGGCTCGTCTTGCGCTTTTTCATATGACTGATCTGTCGTTGTTTTTTTCTTCGCATCAGGATGTTGGATAACCAGTGTCTGAATTCTCTTTGCTTCAGGAGAATCGTTCGCTGGATTTTCACTAACTGATGTCGACTTCTCATTGATTTCGTTTTCTGTGTTTGCAAGATCCAGTGTTGCAATGTGGCATTGAGTTGAAGTTTTTGTCGCTTGGATTTCAAAATTCTTTTGCGTCGGTGCAATCTGATATTCTTTTTCAGGAATTCAAAGATAAACCAAGACAGAATCTTTGACTCTCTTGAGTGCTTTGCATTTTGCAGCCATGTCATCTTGTTCAAGAGAGTTGTTCTCCTATCTTTGTAGCGGTTCAGTATCCTAAACGACTGGCAAAGTTGTTTCAAGTGTGTCATCTTTTCCTTCCACGACAATGATGTTTGTCGCTGAGAATGTCGTTGGTAGAGAGTCGCCCTCCAAACTCTGACAAAGCACAACAATGTCGCTTGTTCAGATGTTTTTCTTGAATCACATGCCAAATGGAACAGAACAGGTATGTGGTCTGCTATAGCTGCAACATGTAACTCCGAGCTTATGAGCATGTGTTGAACATCTACTTGCAAACTTGTTTCTAGCAATCTCCGAACTGTTTCTTGCTGCAGCTTCTCTTTTCCCATCCTCATGGAATCTACAGCAAGTCCAGTCACCCAAGAGACCTTGTCTTCTGTCCTCACAATCTCGTCAGTGATCGACTCCAGCTCTCGCGTCAATGTCAAGATCTTGCTCTCAGACACTTGGACCAATGATGTTATCAACCCCTTCAGCTCTAGATTCTCAGACTCGATGCAAGACACGTAATCCTTCCCATCATGAGCGAAGAAGCGACCTGATCTCACAACATGCTCTTCATCCCGATCAACCTCATCTGCAGTCTGTTTGACTTGGGCATCCATTGATGGAAGGAAGCTTGAAGGCTCGGCGCCACCTTGAAGCTGTTGGGTTTCCTCGAGGCCAAGGCTGGAGAGTGAAACTTGGCTGTGATCAACTTGGCTGAGCAGATCGGATCTCCACCAGGCCAAGTCAGACTGGCAACATGATATCTCGTGAAACAAAATTTGAAGTTCTTTGCAAACATAACCAGCCTCAACTGATTCTTGCGGTAATGACGAGTGTCCTGTCAATTCGCAGCATGATTGATTCTTGGCAGACAGCGTTACATTCGAACACACCAACTGTTGTCTTGAATTGTGAGAATGAATTTCCGATGAACTCCTTAGAGAGGCGGCGTTGGACGACAAGACAAATCTGTTTAAAGTTCCTTCTGCAGAAGAGAGATGTTTCTCTAAGGCGCTGATCGATTGTGAAGTCTGATCGAATATGAGAGAGAAATCCAGAATTGTTGAGTTCAAACTTTGCAGCAATCCTGCACAACATTCCAATTCAGATGACTTGGCAAGCAGCTCGGCTTTCAGTGACTGGAGCTCAAGATCGAACGTGTTTGTTTTCTTTCCCGAAGTCGTTTGTGAGAACTCGTCGCAGGCTTTCTGAAGTTCGAGTAGCTCGTGACGGATCTCGTCAACATTAGCATTCATCTTACAGCCATCAAAGTCCATGGAGGCACTAGAAAAAACCTGCCTGTATGTATCGACAGCGAGATCTCGCTCTTTATATGCCGCAAGCACTGGCATATTTGATCTGCCCTCGTGTTGGTGTACCAGGGCTGAGAACCGAGAACACACTCGAGGGTTCCTTCATCATCAACACACTCAGGTGGGTTGACTTGCTCTTCGCGAACTTTGATGTGATTCGACCTTCGGTCCTGTGCCATGCGCGTGAATCGTTCATTCGCCTCGTGACTGAAGGAGTTTGTATCCAGCATCTTCTGATATTCATCGAAAAGGATGGCAGTCCTCCTCTTTTCACCCTGGAGCATGCCATGGAGTGACTGTATCTCGTGCGAGGTGAGCTCAAACATGTCCCGCACATTCTGCAAGTGCATGTCCATAGCAAGGTCAATCTCGCATTCTCTTGCAACAGCGCGGCACAGTTTTGAGATGTGGCACAGGGTTTCATTCAACTTCTCTCGGACCTCACGATGAGCAGAGAGATATTCCTCATGATGATGTAAGTACTGCGCCCTCTGGTCGTCGTTGCTGCATGGAAACAGCTCAGTACCTCGGAGCTCTCCGCCGAGGCTGTTGATTCGAGGCATTTCAACTCGTGACATCTTCTCAAGTAAAAACGTATATCTCACTTCCCTCCTCCTTGTCGTTCATCCTCCTCGCGCCCTCTTCTCGCTCTCCCTCCTTGCCGCACAGTGCGGCCAAGTGCATGGTTGACGCCAATTCCGGTCAAGCTCAGGGTGGGGGTCTTTGTGGGGTATTTAGTTACCCCCTTTGATGATTGAGAGTAAGCCTGGAAAGTGGGGTAGGGGTCTTGAAGTAGGGGTGGGGGTACAGAAGCAGTCGTAACTGTTCTTTGACAGCCCTTGTCACTGAAATGTTCGGTTACAGACCGTTACAAATAGAGGTCCAGGCTGAAAGTCGTCTTGGGTCGCATTATGAATCCGATGGGTGGGGGTTCAACAACCTGGGGTGTGAAATACTCATAAGGGGTGGGGGGTGGTAAATGCAACTATCTTTTGAGCAACAGTTGTAATAATTGGAGGGGTAGGTATTATATGGTGGGTGGGTGTCAGATATTGGTAGGGGTAGTCAGCAAAGGGGTGCAAAAGGTATGCAGGTTGCGAACCAAGTGCAAGCAAGAGGAGGAGGCAGAGGAGAATGAGACAGGGAAGGGGAGCTGGAGGGCTGACAAGAAGCGACACCATCAAAGATTGACTGGAAGAGCATGTGAAGAAGCCGAATCCTGGCTGTGGGGGATAGAAGGACGTTGCAGGGCTGAGGGTAAACTTTGTACCTCAGAAAATCTGGCACTGCAAATCTACAGGAAGAGCAGAATTCGTCAAATCCGCCACAGAGGATGTCTCTGTTTGGATGTGGTGATAATAGCTCAGGGGAGTTGGGGTTGGGGCACTGCCAGGTGCAGTTTGTTTCTTGAAATTTCTGTTTCGTCTAAATTGTTCCACGTAGCCAATTGTCGGTAGGCTTACCCGGTTAACACTTCGAAATCATGCAGAGGACACGGATTCGAACATAACGGCCTCTTCCTGTGGAAACGGATTCAGCGTCATTCATGATTCGTCCACCATGCAAACATTCAGTTGTGGGGAGGCGCTCGGGGGACACCTAGGAGTTGGGTGCGGGCAGTGCTTTCCCATCAAAGAGTTCGTCCCGATACCTCGACTTCAGGTCTCCATCATGGCTTGTTCGGTTTGAGATGTCTGACTCGTCTCGCTGCCTCCTTGCGAGATCAGGGCCTCAAGGTCAAGGAGATTGCGAGTGGGATGTATCACACTGTTTGTTTGATTGAGGGGGGTAGCGTCTTCGCATGGGGTCGAAACAACGACGGGCAGTGCGGTGTATTGCCGAGCGAACAACCGTACAGTGATACTAAAGTCTGTGACTAGTTGTCTTGACACCACCCTTGTTCAGAATCTGCTATGTACCCACGGAAGTGATGATTCTGCGATGGACGGTTGTTACAAAGGTTGGGAGGCATGAAGCATTCCTGAGGCTGAAGGGGAGTTTGCAGGTCGCATGTGGATGTTGCCATAGTCTAGCAATCACAGAACACGGGAGGTTGTTTTCTTGGGGTTGGGACAACTATGGCAAAATCATTCAAAATCAAGACGTCAACATCCATGCAGAGAGCCCACGATTGACAGAAGACGTGATAACAATCTTTGCTGGGTTGCCTGCTCAAACTCAAAGAACGCTATCGGATCCAACTGAGGTGTTCATCAAAAGTGGTATTCGCTCCGTTCCAAATTGATCTTCCTGAATCCGAGGTGGATGTTGCTAACAACAGGATGACAGGTGAATGTGAGGCAGTTGTTGTCGACGTTTCTGGTTCCAGATGATGTTTGCCTCCCGTCAGAGTTGACTGATGAAATGAAAGGTGGATTTGGATTCACGAGCTGCATAACATTAGGAGGGAAGGTTTACTCGTGGGTGATGTCCATGCATTCATCCAAATCTGTCTCCCTCACTCCTTCGGCGCAGGGCTTCAATGACCATGGGCAGCTCGGGAATGGGACTAACATGTCATACATGATTGTGTGTGAAAGTACTCGTGCTGAACTCTGATTTCAGTCCGCACTGTTATCCCATTCAAGTCCATCTGAATGGTGCAAGATTCTGCCTTCTATGCAGCCATTTTTGATGGTATCTCTGATCAGATACCAACCCAGCAATACGGATTTCTTGTGGCTTTCAGCATGCTTGCGCCGTTACGCATGACGGAAGTCTGTATAGTTGGGGTCAGGGTGGAATAGGACAACTTGGACGCTCCTCACGAGTAGACTGCAAGGTTCTGAAGGAAGATCCCAAGTGGTGTTCCTCTGACTTATATCAGGTTCCAACAAAAGTTGAATTTTTCCTTTCCTACAAGTGCCTGTCTGTGGCGTGCGGGTTCGATTACACCTTTGTTATTGCAAGACAATTGTAATCAACTTCGGGGGGTTGCAGGAACTTACATCAATGACAGGCACACTGGCTGGGAAAAAGTGAATGCCTTCGGGGGGAACAGCAGTGGTCAGTTGGGCTTGGTGTACACGAGCGGAGGTATCCTCAAACATCTCATTCTGCATTGTGTGTAAGACCCTCGACTCGTCAGTAAGCCGGTCGGAATCGAGGGCTCCAGTCAGCAACGAGAAGCAAGCCAGGATTTGTCCGAGTACTGGGACTGTTGCCGCGGTCTGGGCAACACCGACATGGTCTCGTCCTGTTCACGTTGCCGAGGCTTTCTGATGCCTCTTCTTGTTTGTCGTACCAGGTTGGAGCTGCCCGAGCAGATTTACAGGCTTCATGAGATTTCATGCGGGCCTGACGCAAGACACACCTTCGTGCACTTTTCGAGGAGATTGTCAGCGGTGAGCGATGAGACCTAGAAAGATGTGATGTGGTGATGGAGTCATCGTTGCAGGAGTCAGAGGTTGCAGTGCTGATGAGTATGCATCCGCGCCTGGGAGAGAACAGCCTTCTCCGACTCTTAGAGAGTGACCTGCTTCGGTTTGTGTTACATACTATCTCAATTTGACTTGGCAAGTTGAAGCCTCAAGTCGGAACTCCGGCCGTTGAACTTCGGAATCTGATCCGATCTGGCACCCTGACCGACTCTGTCCACTTGGATCTTTTCATAAAACCGTATTCAATTTAGGTCACAGCTGGCGACTGGCCCGACTCCGAGTCGGCGAGTCACCAGCCTCAGTGATCGGACTCGGTGACAGGCGCCGCTGCCGGGCCCGGGGCCGGGCCGGGCGGCCCACTCCCTGCCAGGCTGCTCAGCCCTCATCCCCGCGCAACGCTCAAAAGACGCACATCGCGCAGCACATCGCGCCAGACATCGCGCTGCACATCGCGCACATCCGCTTTCAGATTGGGCTAAATCGGGAACGAATTGAGTAAATCATATGGTACTAGAGTACAACTCCTGTCGTTTCATATCCACTCCCTACCCCTTGAAATTATACCCCCAGACCACCACCCCGTCCTTCATCCTTGAGTTTTTCTGCAGCAGACATCACTGTACCGCCGGCCGGCTAGGCGGTGCGGGCAGGAAAGAATAATGTTGGAACAGGGAGAACTAGGGAGGAGACTAGGGAGGAGATCTAGGAGAGAGTCGAATAGCATGCCAGGGCTGGATGTGTGTGACATTGTCCTCTTGTAGTCTCATCAATCCGACCACGCTTCGTAGACAGTACAAAGGACGCTGTAGCAGTTGAGAAGTCACTGCCAGATATTCATTGTATCATAACCATCATGTGTTAATGGTTCTGCTCCGCTAATGCTCGTCGTAAACCAGATGTTTCAAGTTCTCTCTCACGCTTTTGGATCCATGGATGCTCCTGCCCCCTCGCTTCCCGCTGCCGTAAGTTTGTTCAGGTCATGAGCTTGTTTGCGTACTTACACTCTGGACTGCAGAAGCATGACAATCACGATCATTCCAAGTCCCACGCTGCGATCTTCCCTCGCTACGACAACAGCATCGAGAGGTTTTCTTCATACTGCTCAACTCTTGGCGTTGCTGAGCTTTCTTATACAGGGCTGCTGACTTCTCCGCCAGAGGACTCAACGTGAACTAAGTTAGGCGGTAGACTCTTGATATCCGTATCTCACTAGGATATTAAAGGTTATCCGTAGATTGATTTTCTTATCCTTATTTGTATCGACTTGCGCTCCCTTCCACGTATCTCAAAACTTGAGACGTATGTTGATGAAGAAGCATGCTGGACATCAGCAATCGTAAGAACACGCCATCCAAATGATACACAATGTGAAGTAGAAATATTTAACCCAGTGAAACTTATAGGAGATAGCTACACAAAGATTTGAGGTGAACCTCCATTTCTGTTCTCTTCTTTCAATGTGCGAGGTCCAAGCCAGTAGAGTACTCATGACATCGCTATGGCTTACACAAGGGTTTCTAATCAAGACTGCAAGCAACACTGTGAAGAGCGACGGTCACGATTCTTTCTGTTTCGGTCGTTGACCCTCGACCATGTCCCTGTCGTCAAGGTCATTCACGCATCACAAACCACAGGAACAAAGCCTGCCTGAAGAAGGGGATCTTCTGCAGAACAGATTTCCACAGCAACCACCACCCGCAAGAGACAGTCACAGCTATGAGCAGGAGAGCCAAGATCCATCGGATCATGACCTGCTGAACAAATCACAACCAATCATCATTTGACACGGTCGAATCACCTCCATGACATGGTCGTATGTCTCCGTGCTCACCATGGCAGGTCGGTGCTATGCAACTCTTGACACATCCCGACCTGGAGAAATGCTTCAGAGAAATCCAATAGACTAGCCTGCCCTCACACGATGAGGTAAAACTGCAAGCTCCTCTTTAAATCTCCCGCGCCATCTCGTTGATGTATTCCCCTTTCCTTTTTGTAGTACATTTCCTTGCCTTTCATCGTCCACTATTTTCTCTGTATTGTATCTCTCCTTTACTTGACCCTTTTTCTTCTTCCTCACCAACTTTGTTCTCCTGTTTCCTCCTTCCTTGTTCTAAACCTTCATTAAATCTCTCGCTTGCCTCACACGAACCTACCTCCCCTCTCCCTTCTTTCCAGTTCCCCCTCCCCCCTCCTCCCTCCCCTTCCTCTCTACACACACTGTGACTGCTGCAATGTCTCTTTCCATCCTCCTCTCCCTCCTACTGCCGTTCCCCATCCGTCCATCAGCACGCTCCCATGTTTCAACTTCACCGTATTTCTATAGTCAAGTTGCCTGGTTTATAGTCAATCGGACATCGGACTCAACCTCGGATGAGTCCAAACTTCACTCAAAGTAAAGTAGTAAGGCCCGGGCCCGGGCCTTTCAATGGGATCCGAGCATCGGAGTGAACGTCACGGTGCCAATAGACAATAGACAGTAACCAACTCAGTCCTCCAGCTTTACAAGTACAGTGACGAGACGGTATATCGAGTGTCTTCCGGCACTGTCAGAACTTCAAGGCTTCTACTCGCTCTTCTTGCTCTTCTTGCTCTTCTTGCCCGGGCTCTTCTGCAGTTCATCCTGCCGAGCGAAGAGATTCAGACACGTGGGAGCAACCAGATCGATCTCTCTCACCTTGTCGTCTTTCTCCTCCTTAACCTTCCTCTTGGATTCCGGTGATTTGACCTCTTTCTTCACCTTCTTGGCAGAGACACGTCCTCCTGGAAGCCTTTTCCTCAGTCCCCCCTTGTACCCGAGCAGAGCTCACCGGAGGCGTACGAGTCTGGTAGCCCTTTGAATCCATGTCCTGAAGGCGTCACCTTACCCGGTAGGCTCGCGCGCTGTGCGATAGGAGGAGGAAGAGGAGGGCATTCAGACGGGGCGTCTGCGCCGGGGATGTGTTCAACGAGGTTGAGCTGAGGGAGGGCGACGTGATTCAGATGAGAGCACCAGGAACAAGGGCTGGCAGCCCGGACGGTTCACCTGTCGCCGGAAGGGTTTTGCTGCAACCAGTTGACTCTCCTTGGGGTCGGGGAGGAGCGCCAGGATCTGGTTGACCAGAATCACAGGTGAGTTGATGAGGGGAAACGAGCACAAGCACCTGCGCGGCCTCCGTCTCTTGTGCCGGAGAGACGCTTGCCAAGAACTTCCTACCATCGCACTCCACCTGCCCATCCCCTCCTGCTTCCCTCAGCTCGATCTTGAGGTCACTTCCAAGTAGGGTCAGACACCTCCTGCCTGCAAGAGAAACCACAACCTGAGAGTTTCTGTTGGCAGGTCGACGGGAATTCTGATCAGCCAGAGCTCCCTTCCTGATTTCGAGGCTCGTTTAATGTCCATGATGTTGTTCCTTGCAAAAATATGTTCAATCATCAATGAAAGAGAGAGGATTGCACTTCTTTCAAGCTCTCATATCTTTGAAAGGAGGGAGAGTGCAATTATCCTCTTCTCAAATGCTCAGGCGCAATGTCGGAAAAGGAAACTTTCAAGAAAGGCTTGATTGGTCTCTTGAGCTTCCACCCCGCACATGGTTGCCTAATGTAGGTCGCTCTCTTCTCTTCTCTCTTCTCCTTCTTTCTATCCTCCTCGTCTCTCTCCTCCCCTCCTCGCCCTCTTTCTGCTCCTCTTTGACTCCTTGCTCGTTCTTCGTTCTTCACTTCTTTCTCTCAAAACCATCCCCCACCCTTTCCTTCTCCCCTTGTCTACCTCTCTCCTCTCCCTCTCCCCCTCTCTCTCCCTCTCTCCCTCTCTTCCTCCTGTCCCTTCCCCCGACATCCAGGATCGCACGTGCGCTCTCCTGGCATTTCGCGCGCTTAGGATTGAAACCGCGAATGCCGGGTGACCAGAGGACATACAAGGCGATGGTGGGAGGGCCATGGGTTCGGCGGTGGATGGCGACTGGGGTGGCGACGGCGGCGGCGGCGCTGGGAGGAGCTGAAGGGTTCCTGGTGACTCATCGTACTCTCAAGATGGGAGCAGAGAACGAGACTCTCCGAGCTCGAGCAGTGCGCACTTTGTACGACATGCGGGACCCTGTGGTCGTCGGCTCTTGGCGATCGATCAACGACGTCGTCATGGGCGGTGAGTTCCTTTTGTTGAAGCATATCAACAAGTATGAATAGATGATGATGATGATGATGATGAGGAGGAGGAGGAGGAGGAGGAGGAGGAGGAGGAGGAGGAGGAGGAGCTTGTGTAAGAGCAAGTGGCGGAAGAAGAATGCTACCATGACGAGGAGGACAAATCTACGTATCCCAAGTATCTTTGATGATGCTGATGATCAAAGAGGACGCAGTCATTGCGATAGCGAAGTGTTGTGTTGCCATCTTCTCGTTGATATCTCTTCAAGGATGCTCTACCGGAGGTCTAATGCCGGGCGAGGATTGTGCCATCTTCAAAGGAGTTCTGAGCACACGTAACAACGGAGGCTTCTCGTCCATTAGGAGCCCTCAGACAGACATGGACCTGTCGGACTCAGATGGGATCCTGATCAACTGCAAAGGAGACGGCAGACTGTACAAGCTGCAGGTAACATGCTCTCATGTTGCTGTTCCCTGTGTGTAAGGGTGTGTTAGGTCTGCGCTGATGCTCGCTCCCCTGGCGTGAAGTATCAGGCTGAGTTCGCGCCTTCGTCGGAGTGGAATGAGCATGCGGTGCTGTGGTCAGACCTGAAACCGAGCATGAGAGGTGTCCTGCTTGAAGGAGCTCCAGTAAGATCGATTGTGTGCTGGTTGAGGTGGCTGGCTGACTCATAGAACGCAGGAAGTGAGCAGAGGAGAGATCAGTTCCTTCGGGATCCTAACAAGCAAGGTTACCAGCGATGGAGGATACAACTCACAGTTTCAGCCGGGAGAATTTGCTTTGGCGATAAGGAGCATCAGCGCATTTCAGCTTGAATAACATCATCATGCCTCTGTTATTGCATTGCCTATCGCTCAAACATTCTTGTATCTAATTCATTGTATCACGCTATCTTTCACGATTCACCCTTCTGCGCAAGATTGTGAAGGTAAGATACAACTTTGCCGGCACTAGGACAGGTTTCAAGATCAGCCGCAAGACGGTGCACTCCGCGTAAGCTGTTGCGAGCCTCACAGCGTCCTGATGAAGTTTCTAAGTCGCTACGAGGGAGAGGAAACATTCACCAGGCGCAGGATGCGGGACATCCATCCCAGCCTCCTCTCCGCAGCGTTCAAGGCGTCCTCAAACCTGCCAGTATCCCAATCTTAAAGGATGAAGGGACGAGGAGGAGAACAACTTGCCTGCTCTTAAACATCCCCATAGATGAATCTCCCCTGGTAGAATAGAATCAGCTTGGCAGAGTAAAGCAGGAGCTCGGAACTTGCCAGTTCACACTCCGTTTGAGAGGTTGCAACAGGTATGTCGATGACAGCATGGCTACCCTACACCAGCTCTCAATGTCTCCTCATGCAGCACAGCGTCCTACAAAGAGAGAAGGGAGAGCGACTCGTAGACAACGAACGCCAAAGGCAGGTCCTTCATCTTGATCCCTCTGTCTTCCAGATACTTCCGGATCTTCCACTTGCTTGCTCTTTGAACTTCACGCTCCATCAAACAGCAGAATGCAAACTCATCATCGACTCACCCTCCCCTTTCGGCTGCTCTTCTCCCTTGCGAGCGGCAGGTTCGTACGATGATGGTTGTCCTGTAGATTATGAATCATTGTATGGCATGCAAGGAGAACTGCCTTACCACGCTCTCCATGCTCTTCAAGCGCCAACGCCCCATGAATCAAGAACAGGTATGCACTTCCTAGGAGGAGAATCGAGAGGACTGGAGAGGAACTTAGTGACAGGGCCTTTAGAAGGCGACAAGGAGGACGTATGCAGACCTCGTAGCCACACACCCCATACTCCCTCGTCCTACCATCTCCAGTCTCCTTTCCCCCCTCTCTTACTACCATCTCAATCCTCCTCCACCGTTCCGCCTCCTCCCACCTGGTCGACTACACCCCCGTCGGCGGTCGCATCCAGCCAGCATGATGTCGGATTTTCACTCAATTGTGTCTACTACACCAACCACCCCTACCCCCTCTTTCTATAAGTTTTTTACCCCACCAAATAGAATTGAATATCAGACTCGCCTCAGGATATGTACTATGTAAAACACAGAGACAGAAATATTTATCTACCTCATTTCCCCTCTTTGCCCTCACCTCTCTGTCTCTTCAGGTCATATTTTGTTCCCTCTGCCGCAGCGGTCCAATGGCGACCAACGTCATGCTAAGGATCCCCCGAGCGCCGCAGGCATGCAGTGACGATCGCTCCTCGCTCCCACTCCCGTCTTCTCTCAATCCTCGCCATCTCCCGCCCTTGTCCACCGAATCTTGCACTTGGTCTTCTGTCTCTCCCATTTTCCCATCTTTTCTCATTTCTTTGCGATCTTCTATCTTGCTCACATGTTCATTAATATCTTCTATGTCGCCTTTTCCGTCGCTTCTAAACTCACCGCAGTCGGGCATCGGCGTCAAGATCGAGCAGCGCATGCCTGGAGTTCCTCACAGGATCATTGGCATCGACAGAGACGGCCCAGCATTCAACTACCTACAGATCGGTCAGTATTTCTCTCACACCCTGGCGACTTCTCGCTAGTACAGTCACCCTCCTGTCTTCCTCTTGTCTTCCCACAATTACCCTCCTTCCTCCCTGACTGTGAGTCAAGGGGACGATATCTATGAAGTGAACGGAGCACCGACCACACACCTCAGTGTAGAGCAGGTGCGTTAAACAACTCCATCTTCCTACCTCCCTCTCGCTGAGTCTTCTCTCTTAACGCAGGTCGCACAGCTCATCAGAAGTGCACCAGGAGATCAAGTCCAACTCTTGATCGCTCGACCTGGTCAGCCTTGCGCGTGCGGAACTTGTTGACAATGACTGATACGACGAGAGAAGGGGAGAGCGCGGGAGTGAGCAGGACGCAGTACAACGGGGCCATGTCCAACGGCGAGATAGCAAACAGGCACACAACATCAGCAGCGTTCTTGTCCATAGCAGGCAGGGAGAGTTCAGACGCGTTCGGCCGTTTCAAATCGGCCAATCTGGCTCAGAGCAACATCGTCAGTGAGCATGGCGAACTCCGGCCCCTTCCCATCTTGCCGAGCGAAGTGAACAAGCAGCACTCAGTGACGGACTGGATCTTTCCGTCAGGGCCTCACCCGGACGAGAAGATCGATCGATCCCAGCGAGAGCCATTGACGGCCGAGTACAGCCAAGATCTGCACAAGAAGCTCAGTGACGTAATGCCTGGCGAGGTTTGTCTGATCGAATGAGCGTTCCTTGGCAGATTGAATCAGAGAATTATCGTCTCGCTGCAGAATGTCAGAGGTGCTCTATTCACTCCTGATCTGGCACGGGAGGTCAACCTGACCCCGGCAAGCAGGATGGAGCAGTCAAAGAGCAGCATCCAGCTGAGGAGCGAGGCTCTGAAGCAAGAGACTGAGATGAAAGTAAGACTGTCCCGCTGCAAGTCATGTAGCTGAAAGATGTTACAGAAGAACAGGGACAAGGAGTGGTACACGCAGGATGCAAACTCCAGGTGAAGTTTGCCCTCCAACGTCATCGGGATGGCTGACAAGGCTTACTGTCCCTTCCACCAGCATCGTCTTTCTCGACCTGCAAGGCAAGACGCATTGGATCCCTCACTCTCTCAAGGCCCATCTGCTCCTGGTGAAATCTCTTGGCTCTCCCGCTCTCCCTCACCCGTCTTTGGTCCAGATCGCTGCCTCCTCCCCGGAAGAAATCCCGGAGGCTTACCACGAGGGCGCCCTGGTCTTTCCCCATCGTCCCTTTGTTGGTGTGCGGCTTCCTGACAAGCACCTGCAGGCTCGCACTGAGATCGCTCCTTCTGTCTACAAGTGATCGTTTCGTCTCGCCTGCTGTTCCTCACCTGACTTGCTGCAGGTGGACTTACGCGAAAAGACCGTACTGGGCGTATCCTGACGTGAGAGCATCCCTCTAAGGCCCTTCAAGTTCATTCTGACCTGCTCCCGTTCACCAGTGGAGCTCGGTCTCTTCTTCCTTTGTAGCGAATCTCCCTCCGACCGCTCCCGAGGACAACGTTTTCAACAAGACCATACAAGGGGAGAGGTGAGCTCGATCGCTTCAGGTGGCAGTGCTGATGAACAAGTGCAGCTGGAACAAGGTGGAGTCGCTCATGCCTCCTCCCTCCGGCATCAACTACTGCTGAGGCCCGGGCGAACTCGCGTTCACTGGAAGTTCTTTGACTACCGCATAATGAAACTTGGCAAACGGTCACTGATCTGCCACGTGAGGAGTGAGAATATTTTGAAATTCTACGTCACTTTCTGCTGGGCCCCAGCTTCGTCTTCATCACCCGCATTCCTAACCGAGGGCCCACTGCCGGCGCAGCTGCCGGCGGCGCAGTGAGTGCCGCCATCCGGGGCCCGGGGGCCCGGCCCGCCCGGCGGTACGTGACCGGACCTTGGACGAAGAGGGCCCAAAGGTGGAATGAGGGTGATGAGTGAAACAATTTGTCGGGCGACCAGGCGTAAGTAATGCAGGCCGTACGAGGTGAGACAAAGGGAGGGAGGAGAGGAGAGGAGAGGAGAGGAGAGGAGAGGAGAGGAGAGGAGAGGAGAGGAGAGGAGAGGAGAGGAGAGGACAAGGAGCTAGAGGAAAGAATGATGCGCTAGCATGTTCCCATGCCATGAGTGTGTATCATGGGGCGATTGAATGTTGTTTGAGAACATGATGGTTACAACTTGTACCTCAACAAACATCCCTCTGGATCTGAGAAGAAGGGCTCAGTAGATGTACAAGGACTAAGTAGATGTACAAGGACTAAGTAGATGTACAAGGACTAAGTAGATGTACAAGGACTAAGTAGATGTACAAGGACTCAGTAGATGTACAAGGGCTCAGTAGATGTACAAAGTGCAGACGGTGGTTTCAAAAGAAGAGAAAGTCTGTTGGTGCATGGGATGTGCGATGAATGAGAGCAGGATGCAGCAAAGAAGTTGAAATGTTGCTGCCCATAGGTTGGAGCTTCAATGCAGTGCTGAGGTCGGGGGGCAAACGATTCATGTCCTTCCGTCCCCGAAGATCGGTGCTGTTCCTTCCAGGATCAAACACGCGAGCCATCAACAAGGCTAGAACGCTACCTGCCGACGTGGTGATCATGGACCTCGAAGACGCCGTAGCGCCCGACGTGAAGGTCGATGCGAGGATGAACGTGGTGAAAGAGATCGACAGTGGAGGGTTTGGACACAGGGAGGTAGCGATCAGATGCAACGGGCTCGACACAGTGTGGGGCAAGGACGACATTCGTGCCATCGCCAAGAGCAAGGCGAATGCGGTGGGTGCGAGCTAGGAGGCTCAGCTGGCAACTGACTCGCAGAGTTGTCAGGTTGTCATTCCGAAAGTGGAGGACAGGAACGTGGTGATCGAAGCGCAGAAGATCATCTCGCAGGAGATGCGCAAAGATCTTCCGATCTGGTGCATGATTGAAAGCCCGATGGGGGTAGCGCCTTTGTTCTCCTTGACGGCTGCCTGCCTATCTCATGTGCTGCTCCCAGGTGCTGCGCAGCTCTGACATCTGCTCCCTCGGTACTGCCCTAATCTCTCCTGGGATTGAGCTCAGGGTCTTTCCGCAGCGAGAGAATCCAAGGAGAACCCTCTGCAAGCTGTCGTGATGGGAACGTCCGACCTTACCAAGGTAGTCCAGCTCCTCCCGATGCCGCTTGACCTCGTGGCAGGACCTGCACGCACTACACGTGCCGTCTCGCTTCCCCTTGCAGACTTCGCTGCAGATGGTGAGCAGGAAGAGGCTCTCCTGCCGTCCGTGACGCCGACCAGGTCCTGCTGTCCGCTCGAGCCCATGGCCTTGTGGCTCTGGATGGGGTGAGACCTGCCGTGGACTGGCAGCTTGTTGACAAGGGAGCAGGTGCACCTGGACATTGAAAACAAGGAGGAGTTTCTGCAGCATTGCACGTACTTTCATTCATGACATAAGGCCCTTCTGACAGCATCTCTCTCCTCCTTTTCCTCCACGTCCTCGTCCTCGTCCTCGTCCTCGTCCTCGTCCTCGTCCTCTCCTCCTCTCGATCGTCTTCATGATCTCTTCCACAGCGCAGCGAAGCAGATGGGGTTCGATGGCAAGACCCTGATTCACCCAACTCAGGTAGATCGCTCCTAGTTCTCAATGATCTGTGATTCACCAGTCACCTTCCTTATCGTGCAGATTGGACCGGCCAATGAAGTTTTCTCTCCCTCCGCCGATGACGTCAAACTAGCGCAGGAGATCATCGCTGCCTACAACGAGGCGGTGAGCTCCCTCCCTGCCCAGCTCCCTCCCAGCAGTGATGGACTTGCGAGCAGCTCGAAAAGAAGAGCAACGTTGCCGTTGTGCGAGGGAAGCTCATCGAGTGAGTTCGACACGCGCCTTCCTCAGCCCTGATCGCACCCCAGGAACCTGCACGTGGAGGATTCGAAACGGATCCTCCAGATCTTTGAGATGATCTCTTCCATGAAGTGACGGAGGTTTCGCTGCTGTCCGCCGAGTCCTCGTGTGACGTCCATGGCAGACTTGCGCTCAAGGGAAGGGATAGGAGGGAGACGACGAGACTAGCGTTGAGTTGTTCACCTTAGAAGCGCTTCAGGTCGTCGATGTTGGCGTCTAGCTTAAACTTTGCCATGGCTTTCATCGGAAACTTCCCGACCCTCTCGATCTTGTTGATTCTGGTGATCTTGTGCCCCCCTCCATCATAGTCCACCAGGACCTCAACTTCTCCCTGCTGCAGGCTCTGCCAAACTCATCAGATCAGCTGGAGGTCAGCTGGAGTCTTCACCGTGCCATGTACCGAGCTGTAGTGCTCCTCTGACCCGAAGCCGAGCGTTAGGCCGAGAGTGTACCTATCGGGTAGTGAGAGTAGTAAGGGGGAGTATTTGAGGTCAAGGAAGAAACAGGTGAGAATGGCATGAAGTAGAGAAGGAGGGAGGAAGGAGGAGGAGAAGGAGGAGTTTAGAAGACCTCCCATCGCTTCGTTTCACACAGACAGGCTCCCCGACACTGAAGCTGCTCGACTTGGACCAGGAACAGAGAATGATAGCGGCATCTCCCAGATTCTGTCCGAGCACAGCGTTCATGCTGGACTTTATTCCTTCCCGCTTCTCCCTCCTCTCAGCTGGACTCGAAGGGCTAGAGGAGCAGGACAGCATGCTTTCGTCGGGTCTGCTCGCAAGGTTCTGCTCCCTCTCGCTCTGTGCCTCCTCCTCCGAGCCCCTCCTGCTGACTCTCGGGAACGAATCGATCGTGCCTGCTGGGCTGTTGACGCCCTCACCTTCACCTGCACACGGGTCAGGCGGACTCGCGAGCAGGAGGATCTGACCCAAGGAAGCGTCCTGCCTGACCTTGTCACTTGCTCTGCAGGTGCAGGTCAACTCCTGCCTCCTCCTGGCACCCTTCACCTCGGAGTTCCACAAGGGGTAGAGGTCTTGGTCGATTCAGCTGCGTTGAGAAGATACTTGAAGGAGATGGTGAAGTCGAAGTGCCTCTCTTCCGGCGGGTTCTGCCGTCAAAGTCAGGTGGACACCAGCAGGGCTGTCGCTGACGTCGTGGATGACCAGCCCCACACAAGCGCCGCGAGATCTTAAAGAATCTTTCAGAGACGAAGACGCCAAGGACGACACCTCATGTCTGCTATGCAACGGATGACGCCGACATCGGTCGTGAACACCACAGCCTACATGGACCATGAGAAAATAACGAAGAGGACGAGGAAGATGTAGAGCAAAGGAAGAGAAGGAGGAGGAAGAGGAGGAGATGGTGGTGGAGGGGGAAAATGAATGAAGGTGAGCAGGAGAATACCGTTGCTCTTTCAAGCTGATCTTTGGTATCATACATCCACAACAGCATGTCCCGTACCATCCGCATTCTGTTCATGACAAAGTCACAAGAACAACATTCTCAGCACGTTGCACCTTCGGTCGCCCGCCCCCCTGTCGTCGAGGGTCATCCTCTCAGGAAACTTTTTCACGGGAGCAAAGGAGGGTCGCGCCCTTAGCCTGCCCCCTCCGTCCCTCGTCGCTCCTCCAGCGGAGGGAACCTTGTCCAGCATGTCAGAACTTTTGACCAAATTCGCTGTCAAGCTACTTTCTGCGAGCCTTCCGCACGACTCGGAGTACTCTTGACCCTCGAGCTCAACAGCCTTGCTGGAGCCCCGCTGGACTTCTGCTCGTCGATGTAGACGGAGATTTGACTGACTTCAACGGTTGACCCGAACCGCTTCTTGCTCACGACGTCTGCTAGCGCATCAGCAAAGTCGAGATTCCTCTGCTTCGAGGGGATGGGGAAACTTTCAAGATCCCAGAAGACTGCACAGCCAACGCCGACATTGACCCTCTCGTCATGCTCGTCCCAAGAAGGACCCTCCGCGTGCTCTTGTACATGCGTGTGTGCTCTCGACTTCAACTCCGGGTTCGCCGTGTTTGGCTAACAAACAAGCTTAGCAAGACCCGATAAACGCCCGATGCTCATGGATACCCTTGCTTCGGCCGCCTCGACCTTGTCGATCAACGGGTAGAAGGACGAGGAGGGACGAGGAGCAGATGCAGCAGTGGTTGGCCTCCTCCCATTCTCCGCATGTTGCAGGTCAGACCAGAACAAAGATCGCCCCTTCTTGTCCTGCAGAAGCTTTGCTTGCAATGGGCTCGCCATGGCAGAGGAGGTCACACAAATTACTCCTCCTCCTCCTCCCCCTCCTCCTCCTCAGCCTTTACGCTTTGTACAGATGCCTGTCATCACCTGCAGCTTGTTGCTCAGCCCGCATGCTTTTCTTTGCTGCTCCTCCTCGCTCCTCCCTCCCTCCTAGACTCACTCCTCTCCTCCCCTGTCTCTCTCACCTCGTCTCCTTCGTCTGCCCCGCTCGCCTTACCAAGGGAGAGGAACGTTGGGCTTGGCCATTCTATCCATCACCTTGTCAACTTTGACGAGCAGGCCAGTGGGGAAGTGACTCGGCGACTCGGGCCCGGACTCCGAGGCTCCGGGATGCCGATCAGGAACTCAGGGCCGATCGGACGCTCAGCCGACTCGCAGTGAGTTTGCAGGCACATCCAACTTGCCTTGGCCGCAAGGTCCGATCAGCTACTCGATGGTACTGTAAGATGCCAGGCTGGCAATCACTGCCGGGCCGGCCGTGACGAGCCTGCCAGGCTGAGCCGCTGGATCCAATTATGACCCCGGGCCCGGTAAACCGTCACGACCGGGTGTCATCATGACAGTGACGCAGGCACACCGCCGGCCGAGCACTTCTGGCAATACCGTAGTACCTTGCAGTGCCAGTACGAGGCTGAGCCTGACCTGGACCCGGGCCCCGGAGACGGTGCAATGACAGGCTTCAGCTGGACCGGGCCCAAGTAGTCTTGTCGTGCGATCAAGAGCACTTGAATCTTGACATGTATGCAAATGATGATGACAGCAATGTCATATGTGCCATGACATGCCAAACGAGATCAGGTGAAGAGAGAAACTCTCTTGCAATTCCTTGGATTTGACCTTCAAACAGTGCTTCAATGTGATCAAGGCGTGTGCAATTGTTGTGATGAGAACACAAGGAAGTTATGGGCGTAATCATCTATAAAACGACGATCAAATAATAGATCCCCCCGAACGTCTGACGAACGAGAAGGAATGTATCGAAATCAGATCCCCGTCTGATTCCAATCAGAAGCGGAGGAATGGCTGGTGATCTGCAGCGGCAGCAGAACATGGCGGGGAGGGTCATGAATTTGAGAGGTCATTGATTTCTAGATGAAACACTTACTAGGATGTTCATTCTTGCTAGGATATGATCCATCTTACTAGGACTCTCGTTGATATTAGGATATGATCCATCTTACTGAGACTCTCGTTGATATTAGGATATGATCCATCTTACTGAGACTCTCGTTGATATTAGGATATGATCCATCTTACTAGGACGTGCTCATTCTTGACCCGCCATTCTGTTCGCATCACGGGCTGGACCTGAGCGACAGGTGGAACAAGATAGTCAAGAAGCTGAGGGCGAGAGAGAGAGACTGAGTGGAGGGAGCCGCTGACTTGTGATAGGCTTGGATCTCTGATCCTGCTGGAAACTGGTACTTCCCCTTCATCGCCGTCTTGATCGCGCATGTACCTGCCCCCACCGTTGCTTGCTGATTGTAGATCTGCCCCGAGAAGGGGATGGGGTAGTAGACGAACCCCGCACAGTTTGTGGCTTTGTTGCATTCCTGTCCACAAGCGGCTGCATCCTTGACTGCGATGGATGACTGAATGTCATTCCCGGGATAATCGTATCCTACTTCGTGCTTCGGGTAGCCGGACACGTCGGCGGCAACGGACCTCCTGATGTACGAGTAGGGGTCGGCATTGACGACGGCGCTGGTGTCGGTACCAACACCCACCATCATCGACTTGACGAAGCAGGTGCTCAGCTCGGTGCTCGCCCTCTTCTGGTAGGTGAAGCCCCGACACTCCGAGGTGGCGTTACACAAGGTCGCGCAGTCAGACATGGAGATCGACAACTTCCCGATGGTGCCGTTGACGGGGATGTCGTTCCCGATGAAGTCGACCTTGTAGAGGGCAGGGTAGTAGCCGTCGAAGACATCGTAGGCGAGGGCGAACTGAAGCCCAGCCAGGCACAGGAGCAGCAGAGGCGTCGAGCTTGACCTGGACATGGACGCGATAATACGCCTTGCCGCACGAGGAGCTAGAAATCAACGAACCCCCCGGTTGTTAAAACGTCTCAGTATCTGGTCATGAACTATTATGCGCTGAGTGCATCATATGATATGACACTTACGTTCTACGAAGGCGAATTAAATCCATGTAAGCAAGGAAACACCAGGGTTTTGCAAAGTAAATGTCAGCCAATCGTCCCTCTGAGCGCATCATTGCATATGCGACTTACATACTATTGGGCTCAAGTTCCATCCATCCAAGCAAGAGCAAAAGAATTTTCAAAATGAAATGTCAGCCATTTGTTCCCTGAGGGGCCGAGAGGTCGTCGGTATCTGCTCCGAACGAGATTGTACCGCAGCTGCGACTTTACGAAGTTTACTACCAGTAGCTCCGCGAGGTGACGTGACCTCACCTCAGCAGCGAACGCGTCGGTTGACCGTGACCTGGCAGTAACTCGAGCTTCTTCGGGACTCTCTTGGCCAACGGAAATTTGATGAAAAGTTATTTTAAACGAAATCTTTGTAGCGCGTACAAGCACATAAAAAGAATGTTTCCACCAACTTCAAAGTAAGGCAAGGTTGCGTTGACTGTACCTGGCATCAGCATAACAGGTTCAAACATCACGAAGATCATGCGTGGCCGCTCATCCCGTGAGCGGCGTTGTGCTGGATCAGCATTGACTGGTGCCATTTACTTCCGAGCACAGCGTTCATGCTGGACTTTATTCCTTCCCGCTTCTCCCTCCTCTCAGCTGGACTCGAAGGGCTAGAGGAGCAGGACAGCATGCTTTCGTCGGGTCTGCTCACAAGGTTCTGCTCCCTCTCGCTCTGTGCCTCCTCCTCCGAGCCCCTCCTGCTGACTCTCGGGAACGAATCGATCGTGCCTGCTGGGCTGTTGACGCCCTCACCTTCACCTGCACACGGGTCAGGCGGACTCGCGAGCAGGAGGATCTGACCCAAGGAAGCGTCCTGCCTGACCTTGTCACTTGCTCTGCAGGTGCAGGTCAACTCCTGCCTTTTTCTGGCACCCTTCACCTCGGAGTTCCACAAGGGGTAGAGGTCTTGGTCGATTCAGCTGCGTTGAGAAGATACTTGAAGGGGATGGTGAAGTCGAAGTGCCTCTCTTCCGGCGGGTTCTGCCGTCAAAGTCAGGTGGACATCAGCAGGGCTGTCGCTGACCTCGTGGATGACCAGCCCCACACAAGCGCCGCGAGATCTTAAAGAATCTTTCAGAGACGAAGACGCCAAGGACGACACCTCATATACCCATTCTAACGACGTGATCTCAGAGCTGCCTGCCTCTCCCGCACACGGTACCCCTTTCTTGAG